TCGAGCGAACCGCCCCCGCATTTCCGGCTGCATTTACAAAGCCTTGGAAAATTCAGGGCGGCTTCATTGACCCAAAATCCACGTATCGACTGATATTTATAAGGCACGCCACTTTAAGTTCGTTATGCATCGATAGTTATTGGCAGGTTCCTCTGTCCAGTCCATCGTGCCTCGTTGTACAGGTGGGATCGATGCGTCTCTCTTGAAGCCACCTGTCAACGGGCAGGATGGAAATTTTGGACGTGGCTTATCGCCCCAAAGACGGGGTTTCCACCGATAATGGGTTTAATCGAACCGCGCTCTCCCGATTTCCCGGGCATTCCTGAAATTTCACGCATTCCGCGAGGAAAGCCGATCGGACGGCCCGATTTCTTCGGGCAACTTCCGTCCTGGACTCGATACGAAATCATACATCAAGTCGGACACGACCCTCGATTCTGGGACACGTTGATCGATCCCTGTTGCTCACCTACACGGCCACGTACGGGGGAGAATATTCGCGAGGAGTGCCCGAGTAGAACTTTCCTCTCAGCTCGTCCCGCCCGAGTTGCCGATAAAACGGTACAGGGGAAATGGAAAATTTCCGTGAGCCTCGGCCCCCCCCTCGATGTAAACGTCAAAGTTTCCGGCGACTCTTCCGGGGAATTCGCGCGGAGAGGCGGTCACGTCTCTTCCGTAACTTCTTCGACGTGTCGGAGTTCCGGCCCCGAAAGGTCCGATAATTCCCGGGTCTCCTCCTCGAGGACTGCCCACCCGACTCCCTCCTCGAAGCCACACAAATGTGCTCGGCAGATTTTAATTCTCTGAGAAAATTAAGTAGAGTACCAGGAAAGGCTGAAATAATTGCAGGGCATCTTTTTTTTTCGTTGCTGTTCATTCTGGAAGTAATAAATAATTCCTCCGGAATAAATTCCCCACTTTCAGAGTCAACCTTTGGATTTTAGGGAGAGGGCCGGGGAGGAATTATCGATCTCAGGTGAACATTTAAATCCTCTGATTATTTTTATCATTTCAATTCGCCGACAGGGATCTCGGTACGACTCTTCAAGTATTCCAATTTATAGAAGTTAGGCCTGAAGCCTAATTCACGATTCAGGTGAGAAGGTTCGACTCGGGGCACGGCTGATTTCCGGAATCTCGTTTCTGATATAATGGCCAATTACTTTCCGGCTTGAAATATCATTTCCCTGTCTTAGACACGGGCTTCTCAGAGCTCTTCCGCCAACTCCTGCCGAAAATACCGAGGAGTTAAGATATCGGTCAGATATACACGTCTGAAAGTTTCAGGAGGTTCCTTGTTCCGCCTTCCCGAAATACCGGAAATGGAGGTGTCGGTAACGTCATGTCCCGAGGAATTCTTGAAAAGCTTTAGAATTATAACGCTCAGCTAGAAATGTAATGCCTAGCTCTGCTTCCGGCCTCGATAAGCGAACGTCGAATTATCCGTGGGACTTTATGTATTGTAGTAATTTTATGTATCGAATTTAGAAGCCATGTTGTTTTTCCTTCCTCTCCATTTTTATGGAACGTGGAAACAAAATCGTGTCATGCACTCATACCAAGGGCGCAGTCGAAGCACCCGTTTCGATGGTAATTCGTCGTATCGAACGTCCGCGTTTTATCAGCCTGTGATTTTGACATAAATCAGAGGTAATGTCGCGGTGTGAAAAGTTACAAGGAGAGGCCGTCGTGTTTTCTCCGATACCCGACGTCGACTCGCAAACCGAATGATCGATAACTTGCGTACCGGGCCTCTACTTTGCCCGGTCGCAAAGTGGCCATTGAAGTACATTAATCGCAAGTGTACCTGGCACATACCTATGTACACGCAAGCCCGTACATACGTTACCTACATGCATCCCCGTAGATATACCTGTGCTCCAGATCGCGTACATACTCCCCGGGAACTTTAAAATTTGCCAGGAACAAATTTTAATTAAATCAAATTCAATTAATTACGACCTTTCGAGTTCCCTTTTCGCGAAACAGGTCACGGATTTCACGAAAAACTACCGGAATTAACGTTTAACGATGAATAATCGCCACTACCCCGGAATCATCCCGTCTCGGTGATAACACCCACTAAACTTAATTATCTCCACCTCGTACACTGATACCCTGATAACGCTAAATTTAATCATCTCCTAATCACCTCAATGGCGCCCACATTGAACCCAATTATTTCCAATATCCAGTTGTCTACCCTACACGCAGGAAAATACTTGATCGAATTTTCCTAATTTCACGGAATTTGATTAAAATAATTTTTTTCACCCGAATTAATATAATATTTCTCAGCTTCAATGAACATTTATTTTTTCTTTGTAGCAAACAACCGAATCAAAAATAAATCTGTATCGAATGCTTTATCGACTGGAAGGTTATCTAAAATTGGCGATACAATTTTTTTGTCCTCTGCTCCATTTTTGCGTTATCTCTCGAACTGCAAGGTATCTCAGGGATTTTTCGCACTTTTCTGGGAACATTTAGCTGATTTAAATCGGCCGATAATCCATATGGCAGGACGTCGTTTTGGCGAGGCCGCAAAGTGGCCATTGAAATATCGTCGGGTACATTGGTCGGGGTTTGCGGTACGCGTACTCGCGTACTCTTCGGCCTCGCGAGTACGCGTATGTCGCGACGTGCATGCCTCGATCTACAGGGGCCATTGACTATTGACAGAAGTCATGTCGCACGCGCTGCCATTGTCGTTGCCGCCAGAGTAAAAGCGCGTTCGCGCGAATAAACGATAGCGCCTCCACCGTGAGAGAGGAGCTCATCCATATGGATGGGCGCGAGCTCGCGTCATTCCATCGATGAATCGTTAACAGGACGCGATTCTTTTCCTTCCTCGACATTTTCCCGTCTTTTTGCCCTCGGTTTCCCCGGCCCTTAATCGGGCACAATCGATCGCTAGAGGGCGCGATCGATGCACGTATAAATAAAGACAATTCGAGTTGAAATTTTTATTCCAGCTAAAGGCTCTAATAATACACCTTAAATGGGGTTTCAGATAATACAGAGTGGCTCGTATTACACCTTTAAAAAAAGAAGAGGTTGGCTGACTCAAAGAAATGTCAGAATAAATTAAATTCGTTTAAATCAAGCACGTCAATTTCTCTTCTCAAGAACATATATTTGTTTCTTGCAATTATACATGGTACATATTTATCAACGACATTTTAATATATTTCACTTTTATTCTTCTATTTCTTCTACTTGTTGGATAGGAGTAAGCATTAATCTATGTTAAATGTAGGATGGAGGAATTTATTTATTTATGTTGAGCAGGTTTAAGGTGGGGTTAACATTTTCACTCGGGGGTGGATGGTTTAGAAAGTCGGATAACGCAGTTATCGGCCGATGCCCTTTTTCTGGGCTCGAAATTTGCATTCCAAGGCGGAGAAATCGCTCTTCTGGCGGAAACGTTCCACGACTCGCTGCCGGGGTAACCTATATATACCTTTATAGGATATACGCGCCGATATATAGCCAACGGTAAATACAGTAAATACAGTTCCCGGGATCGCTCTCGGCTGGGAATCCTGAAAGCATCCCACTTTTCTCGGATTATATCTGCAAAAGAGTGGGGATCTTTTCGGTAGGAATTTCGTGAAGGAGAGCCAAGGAATACCCGAGAGCTCCTTGGCCCTTTTTCCCTCTTTTCCTCTTCCCTTATTTCCGAAATGTTGCACCTGTACGAACGTTGGGGCTGATACTTCGATTTAGATGCGATTCCCGTGGCGCAGTGCTTTCTTGAGGCCGAGGTGAAAAAGGAAAAGCGAGGGACAGTCCTAAAGCACGAGGTCGAAGGTAACTGCCCTACCTCACGAAAAGCGGCGGCCTTGCTCTCGGATTTTAAGTGGCCCTCTATCGCCTCCTTTGATTTCCCTCGTAAAAAGGGTCGCCAAAGTAAATTCCGAAATTCGCCTCGAAATTGATCGTTTGCCCCGGGCTCGCTAATTAAGCACTTTGAGCTTTTCCGCTCGGTGGGGACTTTTACCCGCGGTTTTCCGAAAATGCTCAAAATTGCCCCGACCCAACGGCGCCCAAGTGCTGCTTACGATTGAGGGACCTTGACAAATGATTACCTCGAGGAGATCATTTTCCCTCCCTGTTAATAAATTATCAGATCCTCGGGATGACCCCAGACGACGTCTTTTTTATCGGCGAGTAAAAGCCCGGTATCTTCCGGGCGCCTCGATGAATAAATCATGGTAACACCACGATATTCTTAGTCGAAAAGTTGTAAATGCCAGTTTCCGCGAAACAACATCATAATGGCCGGAAATTTATGCAGGAATTAAGTGCTGTTACGATGTTGTTTTAGGAGGGCTCCGAGCACCGGGGCTTACGACGGTTCAGTTATGAACTATCGAGTTACCGTAATTTATTAAGTCACTTAACGGTTACGACGTTCGAGGCGATAATGCGAACAAGGAAAGGATCGGGGACACTCGTTCCTTCCCCGACCTTGTTTAAAATTCATTATTTGCCGCGGACTGCAGTCCCTTGTTAGCGGAAACCACGGTAAAGGCATATCCCAAATGCGACCGATTATCCTTGGCCATTCCTGCATTTCTACGTAACCTCGAGTAATGCTGACGAATTTACCGAGTACATAGTACATGCTCATATGTTTTTGGATAACTCGACTTCGAGCGGTGCACTCGTTAGCAATAATGAAGGCGCGCGGGAAATTTTTCCATTATAATATAGTACATTATCCCCACGATTATATCACAGACTAGATATTACACAGCGGTGCGATATGCACCTATAGAGTAAATCGCACATTGTTCGGTTTTGATTTTTTACCAGTGCCATTTCGGCAAATTGATTCGCTCTCCTGTGGGAGTGATAAAAAATTTCGCGGTCCGGTAAAACTCGTTCATTCAGACCGAAAGTGCACTCGGGCGGTACCCTCGAAGGCGAATTTTATTTCCCATGTTTTTGAGGTTTCTCTTCATTTTTAATGGAGTTTCTTTCTTTATTTCCAGGTGACGCGACCAGGCTGAGGCACTCGAGGCATTTGGACGCGAAAACGCAATTCTACAACAACGAGGAGCCCGTGGTAAGTGCATGCCGATTTCTTATTGATCGTCGTTGAATAGCACTGGGGCAGGTCGCGGTTTTCCGGGCCCCTGATAATGGAAACGCCCAAAGTTCCTCGGAGGGTTTAAATATTTACCTGGGCGAAGTGTAAACCGGCATTTCGCTGCGGTAATGTTTTACTTCGGAACGAGGGTGCGCGATCTTCGGAGGGCATTAAATAATTTTCCGGGATTCGCCCTTAGTGTCAGGCTCGCGGGCTAAACCCGGAGCGTTTCCCCCGCATTCCACGCGCATTCCTCGATCCCGTCTCTCCAGACACTCGGAGGGTTTTCCCGACCTACCCGGAATTTTCCCCGATTTTCTCCGCCTTCTCGATAATTCATGGCTTCCCGACAGCATCTTTCAGGACCCCCTAAATGCATTCACGGTCACATAAGAATTGAAATCAGTCCTTGTACCGATAGAATAAATATCTCCTATTAACCCGCTATTAATGAATTAAAACTTGAGGATCGAGATACAGAATCCACACAGTAAAGAATATTAACAATTTCAGATGCCTATTCGGTGAAGCATAATAATATTGTGATATGCGCACACCCTTATCACTGTCACTTAGTATTTATTTTAGGGAGTTTTATATTTTAATTTACCACTTCGTTTGTATTTTAAGTATTTTTTAAGACCCGGGGAATATATGGTTATTCAGTTTAGACGATTAAGCGCGTTTCTCGGTGGACGCGCTCTAATTTTCCTGGCCTCCCTGTTTTTCGCTCGAGCCCTCTCGCTCTAATGTACACAGAAGGGGGTAAAAAGAGAAAAAGGGGAAGAACAATTCGAGAAAGTGGCGCGGAGACGCTCGTCTAGGTTCTCCGAAGGAAGATCGATGGTGACGTTTTCTCGTTACATCCAGTTCCGTCGTAATTGCATTATCCGGAGTGCCGGCCGATAGCCTATCCGAGCTCGCGGATCAGTCAATTATCGATACGTTTCCCTCGATCGGGTTTCACCATGCCCGGAGAAAGATGCATCTCTCTAACTGTCGACGTTTGATCAATCTAAGGGAGGAATGCCGAGTGAATTACACGGGGCCGAAAGTCTCTTACGGTCTCGCGATAGCGCGAATCAATGGAGGCCATTGTTGCGCTCTCCTCCGCGTATCAATCGACGCCACGCACGATTTGGATCGGCTGCGAATAATTAACGTCGTTTTCAGAATCTAAATAAATCGGACGTTTTGTCTGCTTTCAGTACCAGCAAGGCCTGAACCACAATCGCAAGCCGGTCTTCTCGAATTGCTCGAATTACGCACCAACGGTTAAGGAAGAGGAGGAGCCGAATACCCTCGTCACTCAAGTGTACGCAAAAGATGACGACCCGCCGAAAGAAGGAGGTAAGTAATAACGTTTAAACCCCCTTTCTGATAAAAATCCCGAATGCAAATTCAGGAATGACATTGAACCCCTTTTCAGGAACCATCACGTACAGCTTCGTCACGGCGCCTGGAGAGAAACTCAAATTCGAAATTAACAACAGGACCGGGGAAATCAGGACGACTCAGATTCTTGACAGGGACGAGCCTGCGAGAGAGAAGGAAGCTTACTTGACAGTCTTGGCAACCGACAATGGCAGGCCGCAGTTACATGACGTCTGTACCTTCAAAGTCACCATCGAGGACGTCAATGACAGCGCGCCGGTCTTCGACAAAGTGGTAATGTATTTCCCTAGAACGAGGAAAATCAAATGAAACGTTAATGGCTAAGCATATGACATGCTGCAACGCCATTGCACGAACCTCTTAATTTACTAACACGAAGAGACGCATTTATAGACTCGCAATCCGCCATTATGGCGAACTTGCAGAGTACGTCATTAACACTTTTCTGCTTCGATTTTCCCATCTTAGGGCGGTCCGGGATACTCGTCGAAGGTTGGTCTCGATTTTTCCGTGTGAATTCAATGCCGAGCGAATGTTAATGTACACGTTATGCGCAAACTCTGGCGGTGCTCGCATTATGGGTAGACTTTTGTCCTTCTTCCTTCCTTTGATCTTTGGTATCGTTGAAAGAGAGAAATCGTATCTCCAGGCTTCCTCTTTCCGATGCTTTTCTCAACCAGGGATGTTGAGTAGCGCATGCCTTTTCGTAATGTATCTTATATAGCGATTCACTTGACAATTTCTAAAGGAAACGCGTTATCGTTAAGCGGTGAAGATTGATAACGTTATTAAGGGGTGAACTCCCACATCTGTGGCATGCTGTTCTCGCGGTCGGTAAATTTTTCTTTACTCGAGATAACGATGCAGATTACTTGTTGGCGATCAATTGTAGTTAGGAAAATTGTGGACACGAGATTCTTAAGTGTATGCACCGTGGCATGCGTTATTTTAGAGGAACGATGCACCTCGTGCACGAAGCTACCTCCGAGCAGCATGTTTGTTCGATACGTAGGACGAGGAGCGATTGTTTAACGCGATTGTTAATTTATCTTTCAACAGGCGTACACGGAGTCCGTACCTCAGGATCTGCCACCAGGAAGAGAGGTCATGAGAGTCTCGGCGACAGACATCGACGATGGGAACAATTCCGTCGTGATATACAGCCTTTCGCCTAAACGACCGGAAGATGGGGTCTACTTTTGGATCGACGAGAAAACGGGAGTCATTTTCCTCAACAAGACCATAGACGTACGTGGCTCCTATTCCTGTCCAAAAAGGAGACAATGTTAAACTACGATAACCTAGAACGCTAAGAAACTTTGAAATTTATTTGTCACGTCTTGATCTTTCCGACAGAACTTGATGGACCTCTTCATTGTTGTACTACTTCTCTGTAACCAAGAAGATAATTTGTTTATCGGTTATAAATTATTTCCACATGAAGGATGTCGGATTATAGAGGGCTGATTTAATTTTTATAGAATGGAGGGTTGTTTTATATAAATTTTGTGTCTTTCAGAGGAGCCCGGATTACAAGTTCAGCATGACCGCCATCGCCAGAGATCGTGGAGAGATTCCAAAATCGAGTGTGATCGACCTCGACATCCGAGTCGTGGAGTCGAACAAGAAAGCGCCGTCCTTCCTGCCAAGAATAGAGGAGCCAATCAGGCTGCAAGAAAATTTCAGCGACTTCGACGCGAGCATTGTTCACTTGAAAGCTGTTTCCAATAGCCCAGAACACCCGGAATTGATCTTTGACCTCGTTATTGGGAGAACGGAGCAGACTAACAAGAAAAATACGTTTAGGTAGAGCATCGTTTGAGCGAGTCCCCCCCTATTGTTGCAAGCCTCGCATTAACTTTCGTAGTTCCGAAGTGGGTGGTCGGAAAAATTAGACGTTAAATAAATTAACGACCAAGAAGGGGAATAAAAGAATATATGAATACATTTCAGGCTGGAGACCACGAGGAACACAGAGGCGGACATTAAGCTTTCGCATCATCTCGATTACGAGAGCAACACGGAATACAGTTTCAATGTTCGCGTCCAGAATGCACATCAGCTGGCCGCGGAGACTACCATCAACATCCAAGTGTTGGACGTGAACGACAACATCCCCGTGTTTCGAGAAATGAAGGAAGGTAGTGTTTTGGAGAACGAAGAGCCAGGAGCTCCGGTTATGCAAGTTCTGGCGATCGATGCCGATGGCACACCTGAGCACAACCAGGTAAACCATTTAAATCGATACCGTCTAAGTCCCCTGTATGTTATGAATCCATTATTTCAATCCCAACGTCTCTCCGCAGGTCACTTATGAGCTCTTCGACAACAAGGAGTTCTTCGCCATCGACAAGTACACGGGGAATATAACGACCAAGGTGAAATTCGATCGGGAGACCAAAGACACCTACAACGTCAAGGTGATAGCGACCGACAACTCGCCGAGCGCTCTTTTCAAGAGTGGAGAACACAACAAAGGAGAACAAGTCTTCCGAATAGCGATCGCCGACAAGAACGACAACGCGCCTCACTTCACCCAGAAGCAGTACACCGCGAACTCAATATTGGAGAACGCCAACATAAACGCCCTCGTAACCGAGGTCGAGGCGAAGGATTCGGATACCGCGAGTCCGGTCACGTATAGCATTATCTCCGGAAACACCAATAACAGTTTCTACATCGAGGGAACCACGGGAAAGATCCGCGTGAACAAGCCGTTGGACTACGAGGAAATCACCGAATACAATCTGACCGTAAGAGCCTTCGACGGGCTTTACGAGGACACGGCAGGAGTGAAGATTTTCATAGAAGACGTGAACGACAATCCTCCGGTGTTCGAGGATTTTGATACCAATCCTACCATACTAGAAGAGGAGCTGGTCGATGGCTGCATCACCACAGTGGTTGCGTACGACCCGGATATTAAGAATCGCTCGGTGGACCAGCACATCGCCTACTTCATAGTCAAGGACGATCAGCAGCCGCTGATAGAAATCGATAAAACCGGATGTATGACTCTGAAAAAGCCCTTGGATCGAGATCCGCCGAATGGTTATCCGATCTGGACCGTAATCGTGATGGCTCGCGACGAGGACGGCTCGCCCACCGCTCTTCGAGAGCTGGTGATGGTCAACATCACTCTTATCGACATAAATGACAACGCTCCATTCCTGGACATGCCCCATCCCGTTGTTTGGTACGAGAACGAGCCCCCGGGAAACATAACGGAGCTCAAAGCACGGGACTACGACTCCACAAAAAACGGCCCTCCCTTCAAGTTCGCCATCGTCGAGTCCGCGGACATCGAGATCTTGACATATTTCTCCATCAATGGCACTCGTCTGCACGCTCAAGTGGTGTTCGACCGAGAAGAGCGGAAGAGCTATGAGATCCCCATAGCGATAACGGACAGCGGAATTCCCCCTATGACCGGAACCTCCACCCTGACCGTCATTATCGGCGACAGAAACGACAACGCCATGGAGGACGGATCGAGCTCGATCTTCGTGTACAATTACAAAGGCCAAGCGCCCAACACGGAAATCGGAAGAGTATACGTGAACGACCCGGATGACTGGGATCTACCTGACAAGTCTTTCGAGTGGGCCCCACATGCGAATCACGACGGCTTTTACCTGGATTCCAGAACGGGCATGATCACCTTGCTCTCTGGGACTTCCAACGACACCTTCAGCTTGAAATTCGTCGTCCGAGAGGAGAGCCCATTGGTGCCCTTCCACAAAGTCAATGCATACGTCAACGTCACCGTCAAGGAGATACCCGAAGAAGCGGTCATGAAGTCGGGATCCATTCGGTTCTTCGGTATCACGGCTGAGGAATTCGTGGCTCCGGATCCAGACGGCGTCAGCAAGAAGGACGCTCTTCAGGAACGGCTGGCGTCCATCCTGAACACCTCCCTGGAGAACGTGGATGTCTTCACCGTCCTTCACTCCCCGCACTACAATAATAAATCCCTGCTGGATGTGAGATTCTCGGCTCATGGTTCACCTTACTACGCCCCTGAGAAGCTGAACACCATCGTTGCTCAGAAATCGAAGGAGATCGAGCACGAAATGAAGGCCGAAATGCTTCTGATCAACATCGACGAGTGTCTCTTTGAGAAGCTCCATTGCAACAATTCCTGTCGCAGCATCCTGAACGCCAGCTCGGTGCCTTATCCGGTTTACACCAACACCAGCTCCTTTGTTGGAGTCCGGGCAGTCGTTGATCCTCAATGCATTTGTCACGTTGCCGACCCTATCGTGTGCTTGAACGGGGGAACACCTTCGGCAGACAGGTGTGAATGTCCTCCGAATCTGGAAGGCCCAAGGTGCGAGTTGTTGGGCATCGGGTTCCGAGGAGATGGATGGGCCATTATGCCTCCACCTGGACAAGCCTGCGACGACTCACACTTAGGTGAGGATTCTTAAATTCCTGTAGAAGTAAAATTAAAATCAGTCCCCATATAATCATCCAACCAGTTGCTTCAATATTTTTCTCGGATTTTTCAAGGTTTGGAACTAACGCCCCAGGTGGATCACGGATTGGTCTTTTACTTTGGACCGATGAATTACAGTCCTAAACTCGGTATTCAAGATTTTATGTCTCTGGAAATCCAAAATGGCTACGCGGTTCTCTACGTCGATTATGGCACTGGTACCGTAAAGCTGGATCAGAAACAAATTAAATTAACCGACGGCAAGAGCCACAGAGTAGACGTTTATTGGACGAAAACCGTAAGTGGTCGGGGATAAATTAAATTCCGTTTGTCTTTGATAAACTGGGAGGTTTATATGAATTAATAATACGTTTCGTTGGCAGACCATTGAAATGAAAGTGGACAACTGTGGTATATCGGCTTGCATGAGCCTGACTGCTCCGCAAGGATCGAACGAGTTCCTGAACGTGAACAGTCCTCTACAAGTAGGGGGTACCTTGTCTAACTTGGCACACTTAGCTTCGAAATTAGGATGGAATCACAGACCATCGGACAAAGGATTCGTTGGATGCATCCGCAACATGACCATCAATGGAAACGTAGGGATCGCTATCGTCAATGAGCATTTTTATGGAATAAGTGGAATTCCAAATAATATTTATATTGGAAATATTTATTATATAAATTTTCTTTTTAGACGTACAACTTGGGAATGCCAGTTCTATCCAGAAACGCCGATCCAGGGTGTGACCATGGGATGGCAGTGGCGGTATCATTCGGAATTGACACAAACTTTTTGGTAGCCATTTTAGTATGCATAGCCATTCTGCTTATACTTTTACTGGCAGTGGTTGTTCATAGAAGAAAGACCGACGACCTCTTTAAGGATATGGACGACATTAGGGAAAATATTATCAACTATGAAGATGAAGGCGGTGGCGAAGTTGACACTGGCTATGACCTTAACGTTTTAAGGTCGATATACGATGCGCCGCCGATAGAATCAAAAATAGCTCCAGTTGGTCTTCAGGGAAGAGGTAAATTCCACGTTTTATACGTGTATAATGATCTTGTAGCTTACGCTTGACCTTTGAATGATAAAAACTATCATTCATTTCCACAGCTCCCGACGAAGTCCCGGATATCTGCGGATTCCTGGACGGTAAAAAAGAAAGCTGTGACAAAGATCCTGACACGAATCCTTTCGACGACGTCAGGCATTACGCATACGAGGGCGAAGGCAATTCGGATGGCTCCTTGTCGTCCTTAGCATCCTGTAAGTACATATATGCATTATTCCCAGTGCTCCATACCCTCAAACTCGGTCGAAACAAAGACACATTTCACTAGTTTACTAGTTTTTAATTAATAAACGACAAGCGAAGCGAAACATCGGTTCGGGTACCAACGCGAGAAGTAACCGGAACATTTGGCGGAAAGTTTAAATGAATGTGCGCTCCGCGTCGCAACACCGATCCAGATAAAGCAGACGTTTGCTGTACATTTGTACAGTAATGAATATCCGATGTATACGGACCACATTAATACCGCATGCGTCATGTTTTATAGAGCACTTCGTTGGCAGTGTCACCTTTGTTTGTGATTGCCGTTCCGTAAAATTCAATTTATTCGCATGCGCTGTTTTGCACCTCGGGGCATCCGAGCCGAGAAAAAAGGAGCACGGGGGCATTTCGCCCTCGTTAGCACCGAATCAAACGGCACGATAAATAATGACTCAATATCGCGGAGCGAGTCAACGGCAGAAAATACTTTGGAAATAGATATAAGTTAAATCGGAGTCGCTTGGAGAGTACTACATGGTCGCTTGCTCTGTTATTTCCACAGGTACAGACGACGGTGATTTAAATTTCAATTATCTGTCTAACTTCGGGCCGAGGTTCCGGAAATTAGCCGACATGTACGGAGAGGATCCCAGTGACGAGGAAAGTGACGGCGTAGGTGAACGCGAGAGCGAAAGCTGGTGTTGAGCTTTTCAGGGACTCGCCTAAAGAGCGAAGACGAATGTATTCCCGATTATCGAATCATCCCCTGGATACTCCCTCTGCACGAGAGCACTCGTTTATGTGTCGATGTCAAGGAAGTGCGCGAGCCTAAGACTTCGCCGTATTTGTACTTAAGGGGAGGTGAGCTTAGGGCTTTCAACTTTTACGAAACGCTGACTGACTTTAGAGACTCGCCGGCCTCGAAGACTACCTTGAGCATTTGGATGCCTCGTTCAAACCGAACGTGAGAGCCTTTCATGAAAGTGGATCCTCATCGAATAGCGCACAGGCAACGAGAGTAACGTTAGATTTACGATTAATTAAGCGATTAATTAGATTCGTCAGTCTTCGTTGCCCTCGCCACGGCGGCAGGCGAGACGACTTCCCTCGAGCCTGGCATTCGCCTGCGTTACGAGGTCCCAGGCTTTTTTATGCATAAATAAATATATATATGAAGATAAATATATATATATTATATTATACAAAATATAGATATAACACCGAACGACGAGGAATCGGCGACATGATCTTAAAAGCCACGTTGTAAGAGAGGCGTTTACACGGCGCAGCAGTTGAACGTGACATTTAATTTATATGATATTTTATTAATCGGATGAAAGCGTGAACGAGAGAGAGAGAGAGAGCGAACGGTAATGCGAGCGATGTGGTAAATGAATTACCGATTGTAGAGTGTAACATCGTCTAGGCCATTGTATTAGACAAACGTAATACTTGCGTGCGCACGTCCACGTATGTACATTATTTTGTCGCGAAATGTAGGCACACGAGGACGATCGTTCGCTATGTACATAGAGTATGGAATATTAACATATAAATACCATCTCGGGAGGAGCATACACAACTATGCGTACATTCTCTGGGGTTTGACGATCGTTTACATTCAATTTCTATACGTTAATTTGTACCTTCGCCGAGGTGCATTCGAGTATACCCGGGATATACCCTGAAGAACCGAGCGCTTCCGGGTCTGATTTTCGAACCGCCATTTAGGGTTGACTTTCTCATGCAAAAATGAATCGTTAGGTCAAGTCGACCTTCCGGAACCATAAAATCGATAACGATGGTAATGTTCATTTTTGCGTTAGATAGCACACGATTCGAGAATCGGTACCCCGATGAAGCGTTCGAGGTCAAGTGCCATAGCGCGCCTTACTTATGAAATTCCTTGATCCACGATCCATGGATCGGCACAGTATTACGCGTAAGGGATCGGCAAATGAGTTTCGGATGCCCACGAGACACATTTTGTCGATCCGAATTCATTTTAATCCTACTCGAATGTATCCCTCTCCGATGGGCCGCGATTTTTCGCGGCTGCTGTTTCATCATCGTTTCATTTCATATTTAAGCGGTATAGTATATCATATAGGCGTTCATAGGCGTATATAAATGAATATATATATATATTCACTCTAATTTCTAAGCTTTTTGTACATTGAAACAGTGACGTTATATATGTGTAGATATGTATCGTGAACGAGCGACTCGCGTCGAGGTGTCTCCGCTAATGAATTTATTGGACACCTCTGACGTTTCGGGATTTATTTTGGCCATTGTAAATCAGCGCAGCTAAATGAGAGCTTATAGCTCGAATATGTATGACCCGATTATACGGGAGCACCGAAACGTGAGAGGAGGTGGGCCTCGGATGCATCTCGAAGTGATGCGAGGCACCTATGCATGCGATCTCGAGATTTAAGTGCGAGGCGATTAGGCGAAAGCGTGTGATCTCAAAATTAATGGGGCTGCGTTAAACAGCGGTTTCGCGAGGGGTTACTCTGTATCAGTAGGACGATCCGCTAGCTAGATAGCGATATATCGCATGGACAATTAATAATCTACAGTTGAAGCTGGACATATCAAACCCCGCTGCACCGACGATGACTTTGTTTTCATTTCCCGCTAAGTGTAAAAATTACTCCCTGGGATTTAATGGTATCCAGCAGTATACTCCGGTTATTCAGAACATTAACTCGTCACGACATTATGGGTACATCTGCAATACTAATCTAACTTGATGCTGCAATGTTCATTTACAACTCGTGCATTATTATTTAGTTATTTGATATAGCGGAATTTGTTCTGTCCTGCCTCAGCTGGATGGACGGCTACCAGCTGATCCTCGATGATTAAATTTAACATTTTCTTGCGGCTTATGGATTCCAGTCGGGGCGATTACAATCTATTACGTGTTTCTACGTAAGCGCGGCTAAACGCTCTTCGGATAATCCCTATTTACTGGCCTAAGTAAGACGTCGTACTTGCGTGAAACTGGATCTTGTACTTGAATTTACTGTAGGTATTGATCGTGAATTGACTTCTAAGTTATTTGTTTCGCACTCGAGGTTCGATCGAAGTGATCTCTTTTCGTCGGTACCAAAGAAAATTAAACGGTTCGTAGAACGACAAACAGTTATCTGGCTTTCATCCGGAGGCGGAGATGTTTGATTGTTTCTTCCGAGCCCTTCAAGTGCACTTTCTTTGATGCTATTCGAAGTACCATTAACGTCAGCCTCCACTCATATATGAAATTATTGCGCTAAACTTCCGCCACACTCTCGACATACCATCGCCTAATTCAATTTAGCTCGTAACATTTGTTCCGCGATTTTTTGTCGCTCAATGAGTTGTATCAAATAAATACTTAGGTCGAAGTAAAGACGTTACTTTCGACGAGAGGGAAATAAACGTTGCGACTCGTGACAAATTCACTGCTGAATTTGAGTACCTAACTTGAGCGTTTCGCGAGGGATACGAGTTCACGTACGTGCAGTCAGAGTCGCGTATAATTGCCTTTAATCTGCACTTGCATTGTACAAATATAGAAAAATTCCGAAAATCAAACGCATAGTTCAGGCTCATTTCTGCGGCATTTTGTCCCGATGCAAGTGCAGCCCATTAAAAGCGCCGCGAAAGACAAATCTGGCTCAGCTCTGACAACACGAACGCACCTCGTATGATTTAGAATAACGAATTTTTTTTTTTACCAGACCGAGAAACGCGGAATCGGTGGGTAACCCATCTCGAATCGATCGTCGACTATTCAAGCGTATAAAAATATTTTATAATTTCTCCCCTCAAAGTCACGGAGAACACGGGTTACTCAACCGATATCCTCGCGATTTCTGCGATTAAGGCGTCCTTGCGAAGGAAAGTGAATAGCGAGGCAGTACATTTTAAAATATAAATAAAATCGTACGTCGAAATAAGAAAAAAAAAAAATCTAAGTCCTCCAAATTTAAATTGCATCGCTAGTTGCATCGTGCCCGCGCTGCATCGCGTAGTACGATTGGAATTTCTCCTGGAAATCCATGCTATTCTCTTTCCTCCGAGGGTGTCTGAATTTTCGAAAACTTCGGACGTATCTGATTCTCGATGACAATTTGGGTTTCCGATTCTTGGTGTTATTGGACTTTCGAACCACCGGAACTCGCACATTCCAGTGCTTCTCCGTTCAGGGGAAGACTGTCCAAGACGAGACGGTGTAATATGAGGATCCCGGAAAAAAATAGAAAAGTTGAACAAAAAAAAAAAAGAAAGGAAACGAAATACAGGATGCCTCGTCTTACACTTTTCTACGCCGTTCTGGCGTATACTGCCGAGTGTCGTTCAATTTGTTCACTGCCCTCGAAGTGATAAATATACGGACACGATGATGATCCAGGTCTCCGGATCCGTTTTAGCTACGTTACGTCCTGAGAGTTCGCGAGGATGAGATGTCGCTGCTTGGTCTTGAGACTTTGGGTTTCATGTTCTAGGACAACGACGGACTTGTCTTTCCGGGTCTGGACGAAGTGCAGCTTCTTGCGTTTTGGGGGAGAAGCGCAAAGGAACATTAATAAGGGCGAATGCATGAATGATTGCGTGCGGGCGTGCGTTATTACACATCGACATACTTGTACCCGCGTGTGTAGAAACGAGCCATCGAAACGAGTGATAAATCCGTGGTTTCGCGAGAGCGTATCCTTAGCACAGCTAAGTCATGTGTAACACTCCCTTTGCAGGAATAAATAATGATAAACATGAGATTCAACTGACTTTTGCTATCTCTTACAGGATACCGAATAATTGATAAGATCGGATAAATGCTACGTTACAAGCTCGACATCTCGACGAGGACCTTCTGGCGAAGACACGACGTGTCTAAGGATGAATGAAGCGAAGCCTCCATGCGTAACAGCGGAAATACAAATGGTATTCCATTGATTACCCTCCGATTTATCAGGTTTCTGTCCCGCTGCGCTATCATGGTCAGCAAATTAGGAAGAAGCCTCTGACACGCACACACGCACGTCCGACCATCCAATTATAACAGGTAATGTGTAGAATAATTGCGTAAGTGCCAGACGAGAAACCGCCCACGGATGAGATTTACATAAATTCTTTGACACACCCCTTCGTGTAATTATCAATTATGTTGGCTGCAGGTAAAGATAAATATATACCTTGGATCCAGATATGACCCAATAGACGTCAAGATATGATTGGAAACGATCTGAAGGATGCAAGATACCATGGAGGGCCCTTATTCTTCCATTTTTATATTGAGTTTACTTTCAGTGCGCAAACAGGCGACATTCATTCAAGATGTCCTACGCTCTCATTTCTCGCTTTTCAGTGTTTTATATTATTAATGAATTACGTTATGGGCCTTGACCTCTGATCATTCATAGAGCTAGTACTTCATATGCCCCTAAGGCTCTCGAATAAGATATCGGTTTTCGTTCATATCTGTCCGATATATATATTTTTTTTTTCTAGACAAAATGTATACTTCAGCTGACCATCCCACCCTTCCAGCCTGCAAGGAAGTCTTCCCTTACTCTGCCGTATCTACTTGCGCGATACCCCAAGTAGGGACGAAAGGGGTGGAAATGTCTTCTCAAGTATAAAACGCCTCACGAACCAGACTAGCCGTTCAATCGCAATCCGGTCTTGCTCTTTTCTTATCCCGGCACTAGTTTGCGAGACTAACGTCAGATACGCGTTGTTATCACTTGCTATCAACATGTGAGTTAACGCCAGGTCTTATTAAGCCTCCATTAGGAAGTGTTCCGACAGCTTTAAAGTTTCGTTTAGTACTTCTAAACTAAAATATAACAAACATTTTTTACGCTTTTCCCGAAGAAGCAAGACATTGAGTGGTGCGTCTAAACAAAGTTGTCGTCGACTTTCTTCGCAAAGCAAAGCCGAAAATAATTAAAAAAAAAAAAAGGAACGTTGGATATTTCGGAGAGTCAATTCGGCGCGGCGGGAATTTCTGATGACGTTTTGTTGAGACGTGGTTCCATCGCTTTGATTTTGTTATTCCATTTTTTATATCAAGTTCTAATGTTGCGAATGTGTGTCTTAGGTGCCGCAAAATCCCGTCTGGTCTGCTCGCAGTGGTATTGCTTGTATGTTTGATTTTGGTGACTAACGTGGAGGCTCAGCTCAATTTTTCCACCGGATGGGGAAAAAGAAGTCAAATCTTGTCGACGAGAGGCGGCAATTCTCCGTGTTCCTCGCAAGGTAGACCAACGCTGGACCAGTTGCTCGGCTTGTATAATTTAATACAGGTACGCAACAGGTGGTCGAATATTCTGGCTAATGAAAAACCTCCCTTAAAAGGGGAAAAAAGTATCATTTCATTGATTTTCATTCTCACCCAATGTTAACACATGAACGTTCGATTTCTTTTCCAGGCCGAAGCACAAAAGATTGTTGACTGTCAGAAATTGACTAAATGAACAGCCATACTCCACGATCCTCGGTGCAAGAAATTATTAAGCAACGGTGTAAGAACAGTGTATTGTCTGAATAAACCTTGGATGTAGCCCGATTAAAATTCCGTAACGTTGTATGTATTTCTTGGACCCAAGAGATTTTATATACCAAGGACGTTATCTTCTGCATAAAATGTTTCATCACCTTCGAAAATCTATCAAACGCTCCAAAACGCTTTAAATACTCCATTTGAAAACAACATTTTATTTGGCGAGCACCCGAAGTGTGTCGAAAGTAAACTACATATTATTATAATTATAAATACGTGTAAAGTATCGAGTTATAAGTACATCAAGCTGAAAGTGTTAAAATGTTAAACTGTTATCGGAAGAAAATTGAGTTATGTGTTAAAGTAAAAGAGAAGTCGAGATTAGAAAGTATCAATACGAGTGCGCCAATCTCAGTGTCAATATTAAAATTGGTATCGAAAAGAAAGTGAATCAATTGTATATTATACAAAGGAAACGACATTTCCGACGAGTAATACCTAAAAAGATTATTAATTTTCGGAAAGAATGCTTCCTAATGATGAGAAATGTGAAGATAAATAACGTAAGTGAAGGGTAAAGTCAAAGAGGGCGCCACGCGAGTATTCTTCCCATACCATCAAAAGCGAGCAGTGTCGGTAAGCGTAGGTAAGCTACCACCGTCAACTGCTGCATGGTATTACCATCACGAGTACGTGAGCCGCCAACGGTGACTGGTAGATGGTACCGCCATCGCGAGTGCGCGAGCTCCTATCAGAAATTCGTTGCGCCGACCTTGGGGGCAAAAAACGGTGAAAGCTAACGTACGAAATCAGAGGGCAGCACAGGATGCGATCGCACGATCCTGCCCGTGAGCAATCTCCCAACTCATCTTTGATAGAAAATACAAATTATAAAAAATACCGTTTTATGATGCAATAAAAAACTTGAAATATGATTGACAATATGAAGGCTGTAGGAACTATAAACGTGTAGAAAAACGAAGATAAGCAGCATTGTGACCTGTCAGTAAATAAAACCTGGCGGAATACTTCCTGGAATTAAGTACGCAGTTGTTTGGTCGGTGTAAAGGTGGAAATGAAGTTCAAATTAAAGTTTTGCATCATTCAGTTTCCGTTTATAATATTTCTTATATATGTTGGCTTTTTTATTAATGTGTATAATGGCCATGTCGATTGTGAATGTAATCTACCTCGTCAACTGATCAAAGAAATACAGAGTTATTCTCCGATTGTTAATAAAATAATAAACGCGACAATTGCTGGCAAGTTTAAGGGCAAAACATGGAAAGAACTTGCACTGTTTGTTGACACTTTTGGTCCTAGATTCACAGGCTCTCGAACTCTCGAGGTTTCGATAGATTACATGTTAAATCGTTCGAAGAATTATAATCTAGAAAATGTCCATGGAGAAACTGTCAAGGTACCTCATTGGGTTAGGTATGGGAATTATTTCTGTACTGTTAATATACTTTTTTTAAAGCACATGGACTCGATACGATATTTCTTTCAGAGGTCAGGAATCTGCTACTGTTCTGAAACCCCGAAAAATAAATTTAGCAATGCTAGGCTTGGGATATAGCGTCGGAACACCAAAGAAAGGTATCACCGCCGAAGCCGTTGTGGTGAATAGTTTCGATGATCTGAAAAAATTGAAAAATGAGGTAATAGAAACTTAGCAATACAGTAAAATATTGGCGTGCTCCAAACAAAAAAAGAACCTAACAAGGTATCATTTTTTAATGCAACAGATACCAGGAAAAATTGTTATCTACAATGAAAAATTTGTATCATATTCAGAAACTGTTGAGTATCGAAGTCGAGGAGCTTCGGAGGCTGCGAAACTTGGTGCGGTAGCAGTTTTGATCAGATCGGTGACTCCGTTTTCTCTGTACACGCCACACACTGGTATGATGTCCTACGAGGCCAATGTTACTAAAATACCTGCTGCTTGCATTACTATTGAAGATGCTACACTATTGCACAGAATGTTCCAGCGCGGTAGGTATATTTATAACACCTTTAATAACTTCTATTTAACACGTGTGGAGATTCACAAATTTTATAATCGACATAGTCATGTGACAGCATGATAAATTCATATTCATATCAAATATTTGTATTTTTAGGCAAACGCATTGTGGTGAATTTAAAGATGCAAGCTAGGACCTTACCAGTTACACAGTCTCGTAACGTAGTAGCTGAGATCAAAGGATCCGCACAACCAAACAAGGTAGTAGTCGTCTCGGGACACATCGATAGCTGGGACGTTGGTCAGGGTGCAATGGACGACGGAGGAGGTGCATTTGCTTCTTGGGCATCTGTGGTTCTTCTTCGCCTCCTTAATTTACGAGCCAAAAGAACAATAAGGTGGAACTTTTCGACCACAAAAACATTCTTTTCGAGACCAAAGACTGTTAATTTGTTAACTCGTTACCTTCACGATGCAGGGCGATACTGTGGACTGCCGAAGAAATGGGAACCGTCGGAGCTCGTCAGTACATTGAGGCACACAAAGCTGAAGTGCGAGATCTCCAGTTCGTCATGGAGTCAGATATAGGCACTTTCACTCCTATCGGACTCGAATTTACGGGAACGGAAAAGGTCAAGTGCATTCTGGAGCAAGTGATGGGGTAAGAATCGTTTTAATAACCGCCGACAATTCTTTAAGAAAAAAATTCCTTTACATTTATTTTTCTTTAATCTCCTCAGATTACTAAGTGCGCTGAATGCGACGCAGCTTCGCAGCCCAAACGCAGGGCCCGACATCAGCGATTGGGTCGATTCTGGCGTCCCAGGTGGCTCGCTTTGGAATAAAAATGACAAGTACTTTTGGTTCCATCACACGAACGCGGATACGATGTTGGTCGAAGACCCCACATCTCTGGATCTCGCAACAGCCCTTTTCGCTGCGGTTTCATACGTCTTGGCCGACATAAGCGTAGATCTTCCACATCACACAAACGAATTACCGGAACCCTGAATTAATCTCCATCATCGACATAAGCTTCGTTCCAGTGGAGTATATTCTATTTAAATACGGATCGTACGGTTTATCAACAAAGTCCTTTTTATACTCTCACATATAAATATCTATTTACCGAATCTACATTTCGCCTCTCGACAGAATCCTTTGCTAACCGAACCCTTCCCTTTGGGCACTTCTACCGTGGTGAAAGCGTCAAAGCGACATTACGCGTGTTACCCTGGTATCCAGCAAGTACCATTAACAAGACCATGCTCGGAGCTTCGGTTTAAATCAACGTGTCTTCATCCTGCGCCTGGAACACCATCAGCAGAGAATGTTGCGAGGAAGCCCTTTGGCTTGGGGTCAGAAGAGCGGTCTTCTCGCCTGCACCAACGGCATCATTGATTGGGCCAGTCGCCCCGTTCCCGTTTATGGAGCTGTCAGGCGAGCTACCATCGAACCCCATGTAATTGGTGGTCGTGGTGCTGCTGGTCGAGGGTATATCGTTAAAATCCGGCGATGCGAGAGGCGGCGCTTGCACGTTCCTCGCGCCGCTTTCCAGGGATACCAGCTGCAAGCTGTAGGACTCACGGTACCCCGAAGTGCTCGACGTGTCCTCGTCCCAGGACACGTCCGACTGAGGGTGCAGATGATGATGATGATGGTGGTACCGGTGGTAGTGGTGTTGAGCAGCCGAATGCTGGCGCTGTTGATCGTTATCGTTGGTCCTCTCGTCGGGAGTCTGGCGAATCGAGAGACTGCGTCTTGAACGTATGGAAGACGAGTCCGAGGGGATGCTGAAGACGGAGGGCTCTGTCACCGCTGTTGCCGGCCCCATTGTTCCCGAGGTCATCGTCGAGGCAGCTACTGGCGCAACTCGTGTGGCTAGTTGACTCTCGCGAGTCTCCGCTTTGCCCGGGTTTCCCTGCGATGCCTGAGACTTTATAAGAGGAACGAATTAGAGTCGCGCGTCCTGACTTGGCTCGGTAGCTCTTCGGGTACAAGATCTTGTAACGATCTGGAGGAATACCTCGACGTGCGTCCGCCGACTCTTTCGCAGGCGGAACGTCTTCTTGCTTTGTCCCATGGAGCGTTGTAATCGAGGCCTGTCGAACCGAGTCTCTCCGGAACTGTCCTCGACGGGGCTGTTCATGCTGAGCTGGCTCGTCGAGGTTTCCCCTGGGGAAGGCGAGAGCGAGAGCGTGTGTACTCGTGAATGCCGCTACCCAGAGGAAAGATTCGTTCGCTGGTCTACGTCTCTACTCATGCTGCCGTCTGCGGGGGCTCTAGGCGCTGCTAAACTACCCTTCGTTTCGACTCGGACGATTCGTCGGTGAGACCGTATCCACTGATGCCTGTACACGCGCAATCGTTTTATGCAAGCGGGCGTAAAGCAGGGTAACGAGTCGCCGGTCTGTCTCGATATTCCATAACATGCATCTTTAATTAATTCCCCATTAATTTTCAAGGTTACCGGCGACTAGCCACCATGGAGCGGAAAGAGATGCTGAGCAAGAGACAGAATAAAAATCAGGAGAAAAGGGAGCAGGCCGAAGAGTCACGAGAGAAGCAAGGGCTCGCACGTCGCTCGATCCCGGGCGACGACTGATATCCTGATAAGGATCCTCACGATATGGATCATCGCCTGGACCCGGAGCGACGGGCATCACCCTCGATGGAACATCCCGGGGGTGCAACGGGGTCACTCGGGTTCGCGGAATTACTTCCAAGGGTGCTGCTACAGTACCATCACTAGTCGTACCAGTACAGGGACCTTGGGATTTACCTGACGAGTTTCTATACTCTACGGAAGATACAAAGCGCAGTTTGAACGTCTTTTGTTGAGGTAATTTAGGACGAGGCTTAACATTGTTACGTTCGTCGGTAGAAGACGATGGTTGCGATCTATCTGAAACATGCCACATCGAACGTCTAGCGTGAGGGGAAAGACGATCATCGCACACAATCGGACAGACCAGTCGGCGGTGTAGGTCCGTTGGCGAGGTCAGGGTCGCGACTCTTCGACGTCGCCTAATTTTCTCGCGTTGCTTTTTTTTTTTTTTTTTTCGAAAACTGGTCTACTCGGCTCCTCGGAACATGTACTTCGCGAACCCAATGGGCAAATAACTCGACCCGAATACGTGGTATTCAGTCCGTCACTGTAAACGTCGAGTTCTCGGAGCGGAGCAAGTGTAATTTGAATTTTGTACCATTGCAGATAGGCCGAAGCCCGACAAGTCTGGCAGCGCACCAGGGACGAGGTTGTCAATCCGATTACCGGTGTTCGATTAGCGGGAAAGTAACTTCACTTTCTAAATCCTTAAACTGGAAGACAAGGGCAGAAAGGGGAGACAGAAAGACAGATGGGGGAGGTACTGCACGGGGCTAGGTACAGGGCTACGAACATCGGGGGGGTCGATCATTGAAACGTGGGACATCGGAGAAGCGAAAGATGCAGACACGCAGGGGATGTATCGTGATAGCAAAGGAATCGTGTAGATTCGATCGGCTTACCTCCTTTCCCTAGCTAGCAATGGAAGCAACGTAATGATCAATGCGTCGATCGCACGGAAATAAACGAAGAGGCCAACGCGCCCTCTTCGAGGCTTCTTCTAATCACCGAGGTGCGTTTAGGACCCACTTTTGCAACTGCTATCCAGGGCGCGTTTGCCTCTTCGTCGCGCGCAAGAACGGCTCTTGTAACATGTAAGCGTAAGGCGATGGCGGCGTCTGGTAATATCATTTTGCAAGGACGCCGAGCGTCTTCGAGGGCGAGACTCGTCGGTGCTCGCGATTCGCGCCGTCTATGGGACACCGCTCTTGGGCCGGCCGATTGGCGCCGATTTCAGGGAACTCCGCGATCTCCAAACTTCCCGAAAATTCGAGGGAATTCCGCGGTTCGCGTCAACTGGAATCCTGGTGGTTGAAGCGCGGCGAGCTCCGCGAGCGCTCGCAACAGGTGAATACTTACCTGTCGGTCCAGGCTGCTCGTATGTCGACTCTCCTTGGCAGAACTCGGAACTCCCTCTCAGAGTGGACGAGGCTCCGCTCGACACGGAGCCTGGAATCCAGAGGCGTGTGATAAAGAGATGTAATTTTTATAAATAATGTATCGAGTCTGTCAATCATTTTCCAGGACGCACCCCTTGCGGTGTGACTGCCGTGGCTGGGATGGCTCCCGTGGGCATCATTCGTGGCCGAAGGCTTCCCAGATTGCTGAGCTAGATGCTGGACCGAAGCTGATGCAGCAGGCTGAGTCCCAGGATGCGCCGGCGTTGTCGTGGAATGGATCGATGGAGTTTCGGCAGGTGTACGATTCACGTGGGTCCGGGAGCCTAGGTCTCCGGTGAGGAGGTCGATCAAGGATGGTCTCTGAGTGCGCTGTCCGTGAGGAATGTCGCTCGCGTTTTGCGCAGCGTTTGGTGCCGTTGGGTGCATGTCGACCAGGCTCCTCTTCGGCTCTGGTTGCAGCTCATCTGCGGGAAGAGAAATAAATAAGGTAATCGTGATATCGTGGGACGAATCAGTTCCTGGGTGCTGCTCCACCGACCGAATTTCCGATCCTCGATCTCCTTCTTCAGGTCCCTTAGCTCCCTGAGGAGGTCCGTCAGCAAGGTGCCTCGGGATTTCGGCACGGGCATCGCCTCGCCGTTGATCTTCCTCCGGATGGAGCCCTGCATGTTTCTCTCGTGCTCGGATATCGGCGGCTGGCCGATCTTGTGCACGATGAACGGCAGCATCTGGATGTAGAGAGCTGTGCGATGGATCACCGAGAACTCGATGAAGTTCCATAGATGGACGGATGCCTCGTTGCGCTTGTTTAGAAGACGCATGGTGCGCAGGATCCGTGGCCACTCGGTTTTCAGCTCGGACTCGAAGCAGATGGTCATGATCTTGAGGGCTGAAACGAAGGAATTTGGTAAAAGGAGGTGGAAGAAATGGACTAGGTAAGTTAGTTCCAGCTCTTAACCCACCCAGAAACGCCACTTGGTAGAGCGTGAGGGAGATCTTGGTGGGGACCTTGGTGTCCCTCGCAGTAAACGTCAAGCTACCAGTTCTCACATCAGCGGTGGTCTTCAGGTTCTGGGCCGTGATGGGCGCACACTTGGTGGTAGGTGGCCAGAGGGTATTGAGAACGGTGGTCAGCGCAAAGCTAATGTCCGACTGCCTCAACTTGGGGACATCTGGAACCAGGGAACCCGTTACACCATGAAGAGTCAACCATGAAGCCTTAAGTTCCAACCTTTCCTCCCAGTGCCGACACGCAGGAACAACGGGATCAGCAGATTGAGCAACGTATTCTCTGTCCTGGTCTGCGTGGCGAACATGGACTGCCCTCCGCAGATATTTTCCAGAGAGTATCCTTCTCCCAGAGATATCGCATGAAGCGCAATCAGCCTCAGCACAGTGGAGCAGAAATGTCTGGGAGGTATCTGGCTCATCAGAGCAGCAGAGGCCGCGGAAGTCACCTCTACTAAGCCCGTGGTGTCCCCAACAATGAGAGCCTGTTCCAAAAATCAACTCATCATGGGCCCACCCAAGTTTTCGCCTTGTTGCCCAACCACTCACCTGGCAGGTGCTGAGCAGGGTCTTCAGGTGTTGAAAATGCGCTATGTAAGGGTACTTCGACAGGGTCTCGTACACGCCTTTCAGCAAGTCGCTGGCCGCCTCCCAGTCGGTGTTCCGTCTAATCGAGGCCTTCTTGTAGATCTTGCTGAACGTCTTGTCCAACCTCCTCAGAATGATGGTCAGCGCAGGTCTCATGTCGTCGTTGGACCACTCCGTGGAGGGAAGCACGTCGTTCATGTACCTCCGCAGACCCCGGCAGCCCATCGTTTCCGGATCGTAAGGAGAGATCTTCAGCAAGCTGTGAGCCACGTCCGCTAGACGCTGGAATCAGAACCACGTTGAAAACCGTCTTCTTAATCGCAGGTCGTCTTGCGATGGACCTACCACGTGGCATTTGGAGTCCAGGAGCTCGATCGTCTTGCCGTCTGACGACTTCTTGTTGAGCTCGGCTAGGCGAACCGAACAGCGTGCCACGAACTCTCCCACCATGTTCAGCAAGGTGTCCCTGGGCCTGCGGAATTCGTTTTTGTGGCAGCTCTCGGCGTCCTCGTTGTCGCGGTCGTAGAGGATCCTGCTCTTGGTGTGCTCCATGTACTTAGTCGCGTGCGCTTCGTCATCGAAGTCGAAGCCAGGAGAGTAAGGACCCTTTCCGTAGTTCCTCTGGCTGGACCCCTTGTGCTCAGGACTGGACTTTTGTGGCCCATTGTAGTACCTACCGCAAGGATTCCCATAATTCATGTAAATAGATTCTTAAGAGTCGTCATTACTAAGGTACTCTTCAGGACTGCTTCACTGACTTCGTCAACGCTTCGGAATTGTTGACCAGAGTCTTCACCGCAATCGCCAGCTGGTTGATAATCTCCTTCTCCGTTTTGCCCTCCTTGTTGTAGGCGGGGGACTGAATCTGCTGCACGTAGCAAGGGAGTATGGCCTCGAGGATGGTCTACAGAAGAAAATCCTCCTTCAGCATCTACGTGTACTCTGGTGCGAGTTCTGCCACACTCACCAACATTTGTTGACCCCTCACGGAATCGGCTGCATAGGCTATGACCATCACACAGAGCGAAATGCAGTCAAGAACCGTCACCATCTCATTTTCGTCGTGGTAGCAGAAGTCGATGGCCTTCAGCGGCTTCTGCTCTTTCACAAGCTCGCCGATGTTCAGGGGATCCGGCGATGGCGTTTCCAGACTCAGCAGGAGGTCGAAGAGACACCTCGAGGGTACCTAACAGGTGAGGAAGGTGGAATCGGCAATGAAATTCGCTGGCACTAAATTTTAATGCGGTTTTCCATGTGCTCACCTTGTGCGCTTCTCCGTGGGTGCTCGTTTCATCCGTGTCTAAAATTGTGGACACACTTCCGAACATCTGGAGGATGAAGGGCTTCCTGTTCATCAGGTAGAACTGCTTCACCGCGTACTCCACCGTGGTGGTTACCAGTTTGTTGGTCCGATGGTTAGAGTAGAGTTGCAGCAGGGTCGGCACGATTAATAAGTACCCGTTGGTGGAGAAGATGTTCTTGAAGTTGTGGGCCGCGTTGATGTAGGTGGCCACGACGTACCTGAGGATGCAGGAGTCCTCGCTGTGAAGGATCACGGCACCGTTCAGGACATTCAGGAAGAGGTGGATGTCCCCTGAGTAGGCGAAGTTCCCCGCCATCGCTTCGAACATCCTCGCGATCAGCCGGACCCACATGAACTTGTGCATCACGTCCAAGCCCAGGAGTTCCTGAAGAGCCAGGAGATTTAATCGTGAGCACGAAAAAATACGGTATGAAAAATGTATCGATCTACCCTGCCGATCTCTCCGCCCTTGTAGAGGTCTAGATCAGCCTCTAGTGCTTTCCTTGGGAAGGAGGGCAGCTTCATCAGCTCCTCGTGCAGAAAGACGACCCTCTGAACCACCATGTCAACGTTCTTCAAGATCGCCCAGGTGAGCATCACCTTTCCGATCTCCACGAATTTGTGCACCAACTCCTGTCTTTGCAGGGCGTCGAACGCCTCTTCAGGCTTCATGTGCACCAGCTCTAGTTGCGGGTATTGGGACCTCTTGAAGAAGTAGTAGTCTCTGACGTAGGACGAGGGATTGTGTATCTGGTCTGTAAGAGGAGGAAACGTCAGGGTTCACGTGGAGCCAAGGAATGCCGACTGTCGGAACGATCGAGGCTCACGGGTCTTGTAGTCGACCAGGAAGTACTCCTTGTGGCGAGCCTCGTCTATCCCGAAGAAGTCCAAGGATTCCCGGAGAATCTGGCAAAACTGCGTGTCTTCTTGCACGGGAAATTGAGAGGGGATTCCACCGGCGTCGGGATCCTGAGGACCATGGACGATGATCTTCTTCGCTGATGGAACATTGGCTGTCAGGAGGATCGAGGCGTCGCACTGCTCCTTCCGCAGGATTTGCTTCAGGTCTTTGAACATAATCCCGTGGACGCTGTGCACCACCTGAATAAACGTTCCATCGAAGACCATTGATTATTAATTGCGGGAATTTATCGAGAACTTTTATCAACGTGGTGCGTGCTTATTTACCATCCACAAAATCGAAAGCGCTGTCCCGATGAGCTTCTGACCCTCTTCATGCGGTGAGCGCACGTAAAACATGACATAACCGATTATATAATTGTACAGGGCAAAGGCAGCTTGCTGCGGCAACTTCGGCACGAATCTGATCAGGTGTCTCAGGATCTTGAACATCAACTCCTGCTTCTCTCTCGTGAGACGTTCCAAGACGTACCGCAGGAACAGTGCGCTGTCTTCCACCAAGCAGTTCCAGATCACCTGAAGAATGATTCCAGGATTAACCTTAATTTTCAAACGAAGATATCAGAATCCTGGTGCCACCTCTACCTGATAAGCAACCTCGTAAACGGCGTTTCCATCATCAGAAACTGCTGCATCGTCCAGTAGACTAATTATCTGGACTATTGCGGAACAGAGGGACGAGGGGAATAGAGACAACGCGGACTGACCATGGTGAGAGGTACTTCTTGGAGCGATCTCCGCAGCATCCTCGTCAGCATTGCCTGTAATGAATTTTTCAGTTAATAGAGGCTCTTTGTACTCGATGTCTTTAGATGTACTCCACATGCCTTCATCATGGTCATCCCCCACAGGACTGGGTTCGTAAGCAGCCTGAACAGTGATGGGGATCGTGGTGATCAGGAAGTTCTCACGTTCCTCCCTCTTCTTGTCGTCTTGCGCCTGAAGAGCCCTCTTGATCAGTTCGGTCTGCTGTTTTTTCCTGGTTTTCGTGGCCGTGACCAAGGACCTCTGGAATTGAATAGGATCAAGAGTACTGCGAATGGTAAAGAGTCAAACATCAAACTTACATGACGCTCCTGGTTGATGGTGACCTCCTCTACTTTGGTTTTCATTTGAGGCATCCAAGGTGGGTCGACCACGGGGAGCGACTCGATGCCGATCTTGGGTGAAGGTAGGGTGAACTCGATGCCTGGTGGAGGCACCTTGAAGGTCAGGTGAGCAGTCTCTTCCATGCGTGGCCAGACTTGGTACCTCAGCTTCCAGAGTACTTGGAATCGCAGTATCGCGTTGATGCGGACCGAAGCACTCGAATTACGAAGACCTCGATGCATCAGGTCACTGGCTTGATTGGGTGCTCGCACGGCTGCAACGATGAACAACGAAGCTGCCGAAGCGGCCACTTCCTGGTTGGACTCCAAAAGTAGCTCCCAAGCTACCGGAAGAACGTCCACAAAGAGGTCCTCCGACATGATAGCGGCTCCCTTCACCAAAGTCGCCAGGGGTGCGTGGAAGGCTTCCTTCACCTGCATCATTCTCCTCATCAGACCCTGCAGAGGATCCTGAAGTAATGGATAAAAACGCGAGCACCTTACCTGGGTCCTTATATATTTTAGGATCGCCGGCGGTTCCTTGTTGGAATCGTCATCGCTGCCATCGTCTTTTAGAGCTCTCCTCGAGGGGTCCTTGGCGCGCTCTGAGTCCTGGTCGGCAAGATCCCTTGTAGAGTCCCTCTGGAACCCGGTCATCCTGCCCGACTGAGACCCATCCGAGTTCTTCTCGATCCTGGAGTAAAATAATCCATGAGGCCACGGCATACCAACAATTTCAGCTGAGGTGAAACGCACTTACTTGTACTTCCTCCCAACGCTATCCTTCCTGCGAACAGGCGAAGTCTGGGCACTGGTTTGTTCGGAGACCTTGCGAGTGTTCCTCTTCTCCTTCTTGCCGTCCTCTTTTTTATCAGTGTCAAAATCGAAGGTGCTGGCGCCGTCCAGGATGCCAAACTCCTCACCGTATATTTTCCTTACAGACTTGACAAGCCGACTGCCAGCTCTCATCTGCCTTCGGTGACAGAAGGGGTGACAGAAATTCTGGTGGGAGCAGTAGAAATTGAAGGAGCTGGATATCTGAACCAGGACCCTCATCCAGGGGAAGTTCTTGTTGGTCTCGTCGGTGTCGTTGCTATCACTGGGACTCTCCGGAGGCTGATCGTCGCTCAGAATCCCCGGAGACTCTTCGCCACCGCTGACCTCTCCAGCCCCGACACCACCACCAACTCCAATTCCGATTCCAACACCAACGCCGACTCCAAGACCCAAACCTGGCTCCGAAGTGTCGCTTCTGTCCGACAAGGAGCTCACCTTCCGCTTCGACTGGATGGAATCCGCTCTTCTGACGATGTCTACGAGGATCGGGCAGAAAAGGATTAGGATTACAATCATAAATAGATGGAGGTTAGATACTGGAACACGTACAGGGTTCGCACTCCACGTCCTTGCCCTCCTTCGTGTTGCGTCTCAGTTTGAGGCTCCTACGTTTGAAGGATCCCGTCGTGACGGCACTGCCCGTCGCGGTTCCTCGACGCAGGAGGAAAGGTCTTCCCGAAGGAGCTTGGACCCGTTTGTTCCTCTCTCGTTCGTTATTCGAAGCCTGATTCTCCTCGCCCTGGATGGTGACGGTGGACTTGCTGCTGCCCTCCGACTCGTTGTCCGGCTCGTGCAGGACGAAGCTGATTTTGCGCTCTGGACAGAAATTAAGCATCAAGCCCAAGGATCAAAGAGAGGAAGGGTTTGGGAGATTTACCAGTTTCTCGATCCCCGGCGATGGATTGGAGACTCTGTGCCGAGGTTTGCGAATGACCCATGGAGGACAGGGCCATGCTCCAACGTCTGTTCGCCTCGCGACTGTACATCCTCTCCCAGGGTGGAGGTCGCTCCTTCGTAGAAAGTCTGCAGGACTTGGGCAAGGTCCTGTAGGTCTCGCGAAGGAAGGCCGTGATTTCCAGGAGCAGGACGCAGGCGATCAGCCTTAGAGCCGTAGGGCATGGGGACCCGTAAGCGTTGATGCTCGCTGTGAAAAATCATGGGTAAACGTCAATATCTCCAACAACGAATTAAAGGAACAATTGGAAATTTTCTCCACCTTCGTCCAGGAAGTCCTCCTCTTCGTCTTCGACGATAAAATCCCGTTGCTTGGTATCGTCCGACATCATGGCCACGACCTGCTCGACGTTCCGCTTGTCGACTGCTAGGAGTTCCTCCAGTCTTCCGCCGATCGCCTGGATTGTCAAATTGATCTCCAACCAGACTTTTTAATAAATTATAGAATTAATCCGAAGGATCGCCAACCTCTGCCCACTGGTAGAACAGCTTCCCAGCCGCGCGCTGCAGGACGTGCGTCCTCCTGAGACCAGTGGGAGCGTTCCTGTTGTTTGTTGACACCGACGGTCGGAACATGGGTAAGTTGAGCTTCATCCAGGCTGGCCACTGGCCCTTGTTGCAGCGATGGACAAGGTGCGCACACTCCAGGATGAGACAAGCACGAGCTACCACCGGGGCGTGAGGCTAAATCAGCAAAAAAATCCAGATTAGCCAGGTAGGACCTTCCAGGATCTTAATTAATAAAATCGTGACTCTTCACCAGGTCCAGAATGGCCGCCATCAGGTGGTGATCCGGCACCGATCCCGGCTGACAGGTCTCCAACAGGAAGGAGAACCTCATCATGCCGTCGTAAATCGCCGTTTGGGGGACCAGTCGCCTTTCTTTCAGGACGACGAATTCCGACTCCCTGAATGCTTCGCCGAACTCCATGGAGTTCCTTCTGCTGAAGTCTGGAATTCAAGGACGGTATTAAAAACAGGAGCTAGTTGACTCGATAGAACTGACTATTGACTGGCTCACAACTGCCTGGCGCTTCCTCCGAGCTCTCCTTCTTCTTGCCCTTGCCAAATCCGATCTTGTTCAGCTGATCCTCCACCCTGCGTTTCGCCCTCTGCAGGGTTTGACCTACCCTGTAAGGATAATGTTGGCAGTGGTCTTTGGAGGAGTGCTTGAAAGAACCTCTTGGCTGCTTACCCTCGTCCTGTTCGGGAGGTACCACGATTGTGACCTCGTTGGAAGCTGGTTTGACGAACGAAGCTACTTTCGGTGGGAGATTCACTGCTCTCGTGACTGTCAGTCGAATCCGTACGTCCGTATTCTTTCCTGAACCAGTTTACTACAACCAAAAGGAACCTTTTCATCTTCATCTTCGTCATCTTCCGCTCGTTTTCAGGGGGTGTCTCCGCAACCTCGCTTACCAATTCCGCCGATCGGGAACCTGGTCTTCTTGGATTTCCCAAGGCTCTGAGAAGGATCGCTGATTCCTAAATTCCTCTCGCTCTGCCTCGGCGTCAGGACGTGGTGCTTTTTCCTGAGGTTCCCCAGAGGACTCTGGCTGACTTTCGCGTTCTCCTCGCTCAGCTCCGTCTCCAAGAGACTCTTTAAAAAAAATTATAATATCATTTAGAAATTAAATAAAAAATTACGGCATCTTTAACGCTCAAAACCGAACTTACGGCGCAGGTTGAAGAGGTGCTCCGCTTCTTGAAGAGGAACTTCCTCGTGCCACGGTCGTCCACCGCGTAGCAGGATTCTCCTCCTAAATCGGCATTCTCCTCCAGATCCGACTGATGAATGTGTCTGAAAATGAAAAGTAATATGAATTTTAAGGCGAATTAATTGAACCTGAAACTGGGAATCTCTACCTGATGACCCGAGTGGTCTTGACGTCGCTGTTGCATCGCCTGTTCGGTCGATCAGCAGCATCGAGGATTCCACTCAGAGCTACCCGACGAAAAACCCCTCCATGTGCCTCTTTGACGTAGGTCATGAACTGTCTCAAGTCGCAATAAAGCGCCATGTTCTCCTGAGCCTTGAGCTCCTTCAGGGTCTTGACGAACATCGTCACCAGGACCTTGAAGACGCAGCTCATGATATGGCCCTCGATACCCCTCGCTGCGTTGTTCCCACCTCCGAAACTCACGATTCCGGAGTTGGAAGTGTTGGTGTTGGTATTCATCGCGTTTGCTGCACCTGGAGTCGTCGCCGCACCTAAGGATCCCGACATCGCCAGGCCAGCTCCAAAATTCGTGGCATATCCACCCTGCGAGGCCACGTCCGGAGACTTGTTCGAGCCCTTCTTCTGGCCTGAAATTTAGTCGCCTTGAAATCTCGATCCTCCTTCAAGGTTGCGCCGAACGACGTACTCGGGTCCATGCAGAATCCCACGTAGGCGTGGAAGAAGTCCAGGATCTCCACGACGGGCTGGTCCCTGACCATTGCCCTGAAGAACTTGGAGAACTGTCGAGGATTCGCGCGATGCAGCTTGCCGAGGATCGTCTGGCCCTGAGACCGTACAAAGTCTGCGGGGGGTCCTCGAATACTGTCTCCACACCCATGAGGACATCCCAGGTGCTTCAGGACCCTGATGGTGCAGTTGACGAGCATGTTGTGGGGCGTCGTCTTGGCAAGGGGTGAAGAAGGTGGGGGCGGAGGTGGAGGCGGTGGCAAAGGTGGTGGAGGTGGCGGAACTGGTGGAGGTTGAGGTTGCGAACTTCTCTCTTCTCGGTCCAGCTCGTTCAAGGGAGAATCCCTCTTCTTGGCGTCGGCCCCACCTCCCGAACCTGGAATTTTTTTCACCCCCGGAAAATATTTCACAGAGTTGTAAAACCCTCCTAGAATATTTCTTTCTTTTTTTTATATCTCAATCACTCACCCACGTTACCGTTGGACATCTCTTCCCGAGTGCTGCGATCGAGCACTCCCATTTCCATGAGTAGTTCCACCAGGTTGAGGATGGTCTCGCAAACGCGAAGGGTGCAGCTCGATGCATCCCTCAAGGCTACCGCGTGGACGGCCTGTTAATTGATAAAATTAATTTTATATTTATTGCAGGCTGTTTTTATCCAGGACCAAGCACCTTCAGAACAACCCGGCGGTCCAGGTCTCCTTCCTTCGTGATGTAACAACTGGACCCTGGTGCTTCAGGAACTTCTTCTCCAGTATACGTGATGTTGGAGTCGGTTTGCGATCTCGTCAAGCTGGCTTTCCTTTCGCACCCTATACGCATCCCCTGTATACTGACAGCATCCAGCTGACTGTCAATCGAAGGCTATTGACAAAAATGAAATTAATCCGTGAATTAATATTAGAGGTAATGAAAAGTACACTGTTTCTTTTTTTTTTCCACTTTACCTGCTTCTTCATGTAGTCCGGGGAAGGTGTCGGGGTGTGTTCCGTGACAGTAATTATGGGATTTGGCGCTGTGCAGGACTGACTGTAGAAACGACCCTGCTTCCTTTCTACTCGAGTATCTCCAATATATCTGCGAGTACACATCGAATGATCCATTGCGATCTATCGTGGGCGATTTCTAAGGAAATCGAAGCTGGCAATCGTGATTGAGAGAAAGGACGAAAGATATACCCATGCCATGAAATCTCTCCAAAGTCGGGCATTCTATCGCTTCTAATTGTCTACCCTCTACTTCCTCTTGATAACGCCTGATTACTCGATTAGTGTATCTCATTCTACCTCATGCTTGTAAGCAACTTCTGCCTGCGTTCGCCATAGCAAAGGAAATCTAAAATCTTAAAGTTGGTCTCAGGTGAGACCTGGCAACAAGAGAGATTTCGTGAAAAATAATTGTCGAGATCGTGATAAAACTGGGGATTGTTATTTTCTTCTATTTTTTTTTTATGCAAGTGACTGTGCAAAAGAATTAATGAAGCATGTGGGAATGGTTCCTTGGTCGAGAAATAATTTAAAATAGTTAACTGAGCCCAGATAATTGAGAAAATGAAAAATAACACTAAGGTCCATGGTAAATAAATGAAGTCAGGCCATTCCTCGCATTCGCGTCAAAGGAAAAATCGAAAAGCGAGTTTCCGATCGAAAGAAAAGAGGGGTCGCAGTCGGTCGTCGGTCTGCCGATTTTGAGGGAACTTCCCGGTATCGTCCTTGGTAAGCCGTACAGCTGACAATAAGCGTATGCAAATTGCAGAAAGGAAGGAAATAAATGTTTTCGCAGTCGTTGATGACTTACCCTCCCGCGGTCAGCTCGTTAATCAAGCAGCTGAGCACGAGTTTCGGGGCGAAAGGTCGAACGAGAGATAGAGAGAGAGAGGGAGAAAGAGACACATATATAGAGAAAGAAATTACGAAAAGATCGGACATATATTTTGTTCTCTTCGCTAATCATTACGCACTTTGTCAGTGCTAACTAGCCGAGTACTCGGTAGGGCTTTGAATTAATTTTCCAAATTTTTTTCTTTACCTCCTTTTTTCCTTTTTTTTTTTCGAGGAGATGAAAATTGCAAGAATTTTCTTTCCAATTCTAGGAGTCTCTACCGAGCCTCAGAAATTCTACTGTATATGTATATCTCGGTACTAGCGGATAATTACATTCCTACGTCTACCAGAATTATGAAATACCGTAGTTAAATACGTGCAAGTATCCCACACCTCGAAACTCCGTAATGGCGTATTCCATTTAAACATTTAACACATTCAGAGGTGAAGAACTTCTCGACGTTTAAGATTCGAAAGAAAGATATTCGTTACACTTATAGTTCCTGCTCGAACTAGGATAATTGTGATATCTGTCATATTTTTCATTTTTTCATGTCAGTATGTCATCGTGTCAGCCGTCACCCTATTTATTTTTCACGTGTGTATTTTTCGAACGCTGTAAAGTCGATTCCAATCAATACTTTTACTTGAAAAAATTCTGAGTGACTGTATCAATGTTAATAAATATATAGTGAAAATTCCAAGATGGGGTATTGTCATGGTTCGTTAGAAGAAATTGACAAAAAAAGCGAAAAAATACAGCCGTCATACGGTACGACTGCCTTAATGGAGGTGATCTCCGGAAGAAGTTCTTCACCCCCTGTATGACTTAGGAAAGTATCAAGATTTACGGTGAAATTGATAATTAACTCGATTCTCGTCAAAGATCTAGACCTGGATCTACGATGAAAATGGTTTTTCTACTATTTCTCGTATAAACGAGTACATAACTTACCTTAAACTGGGCATGCTCTTCCCTTTGATGAGGTTGGTAGGATGCTTCATCAGGTCGACGTCCCTGGCTTCGAAGGTTTTGGAACAGGGCGAAGTAGGCCTCGTCAGGTGGTCGTCACCTGTGTCGAGACTCCTATGACAGTCCTGCGACGAAATGAAAAATGAAAATCTCGGTACCTAATATAAAATATGAATTTCTTTTATACCATCGGGTACCAACCTGGTCGAAGAAGCCCTTAGACTCCTCATGGCCGATGTTCTCCAGAGTCTTCTCGGACTTGGAGAGCAGCTTGGTCTCCACAAAGGCCTTCAAATCGGCCATTTTCATGCGCTTCTTCGCCTTCTCACTTGCTCTTCTGGTATGAACGGTATCGGTGTCCTGGGACTTGCAGGAACCAAACGAGGAATCTGGGCACATTTTGAATATCGAGTTTACGAACTTTTTCTCCCTTGTCAGGCTCTTCGTTAAACATTGGACTTCATACCAGTCGATGGGGCCACGTCTCTAGGCCCTGGGACTTCCAACTCCTTGGCCTCGTGTTTCTTTTTGCTTTCAGGGCTGTGATATATGGAGACTTCGATCTTGGGAATGGGCAGAGAATTGCTCCTTCTTCGGGGCATCCTTTGCACGGAGCTGTCCTCGTTGATTTCGCATAGCCTGTTAAATGAAGTCGTCACTATCAGAATTCAAGGTATGCCAGAAATTCTTCAAGGTGAGGATTAGAAATTTTGTATTATTTATTATAGAATAAAGGAGACCCACCGGTGATAGAGATACTGGAGCGCCCAGAAGACGCCCTCCTCCTGCCACTGAGACACGAAGAGGCACCTGAGGACGGCCACGTCTAGAAAGGTCGCCGCATAGACATCTGTTCTTATGGTACGACCGGTTTCCGCAGGACCGCTGGTTCCGGTGGTACCAGCAATGGCGGCTCCCGATCCTGGAGAACTTCCGGCTTGACGTGGTCCAGAGCCCCCCGACGTCGCGTCTCTCTCGGTGCTTTCGTCCCTGTCATCTCTTTCTTTTGAATACCTGAGAATTTATTACAAAATATATCCAATATAATTTATTTTCCAGGTGAAATCTGTACCCGAGTCTCTGTGAAGTCGTCGACTTTCCCTGGAGCTGGCGATACGTATCGGTACCGGAAACGGCGGTGATCCTTTCAATCGTCAAGGTGGACCTCAAGGAGCTCGTCGAGGATTGACTCATTGCCACGTGAAAAATACGCGCCTCCCCCTAGAAAGGTTTCCAACCGAATTCAGTGACCTCAAGATCCTTCCAAAAGGTCCTTCACGGGACTTACTGCGAATATCGTGGACACTTCTCGCACGCCATCGACGCCTCTGTCGGACTCGCTCAGCGAGGGTAACCGGAAGATCATCTGAAAAATCAGAAAACAATGGTTCCTATCCACAGAAAAAAAATACCTCCACCGTTGAATTATTTCATCGTTTCATTGAATTATCAAGAAATCTTACCACGTGCTCGTCCTCGGTACTGGAACTCTCTTCAGGAATCGTTTCCGGGAAGGCCGTGTCCTTCGGCGACGACACCCAGTTGTTCTGGAAGAAGAGAAATTCCCATCGACCCTGGTTTAAATAACCTGGATTAATTTTAAGATTAATGGAGAAAAAATGTTTGTAGATCGAGGACCTCTTCATCCGCCGATTTTATGGACGATGGGGCTGACGGGGGTTGCTGATAAGAGGGCATTCCTTGTTCAGAGAAGCATACACTAGCTGTCTGGCTGGGAGGACTCTCCGTGTCCGGGTAATCGTCATTTGACGCGCCTAGATTAAATATTAAATTGATATTAATATCTTTAAAGATCATCTTTTACTTCGTTGTTCCATTTACCAGCCCCCGCGTAAATGGAGTCAAAATGGTGACGCTGTTGCTGTTGTTGCTGCCTGTGATGGTGATGATGGTGATATGGTGGCGGAGGTGGCGGAGGTGGAGGTGGCGGTGGAGGCTGCCTCGTTGATTTTATCGATCTGGACCAAAAAGTCTGCGGCTTTGGTCGGCAATAAGCGGTGAAACATGGCGCGTCTGGGTGACGACATTCCCACATCGCAGACCATATCTTAAGGCCATTTTCGAGGCGAAAATTGGTGGTGAAGTCGGAATCCTTAAGGTGGTTGCAAAGGGGCGCGAACAGGTAGACGAAGAGCTGTAAGGAAATTTAATTGATAATTCATTATCAGAGGAAATTATCGGAACATCTTAAATGTCTTACCGTCACCGTGGGTATCGAGAAAAGATAGTAAAAAGGATTCGTGCGATAAATTCCAGCTTCGGCATCTGCATCGGCGCACTCTTCTGCAGCATCCAGGATGATCCAATGCAGAGTGTAGAGGAGTTTCGTCTCCACCGCTCCGAGGCTCTGAAGGTCCTTCCTTCGGAACCGAAATTATTTCTCGATTATTTCCCTGGCTCTTGAAGTTCATCTTCGTCTTCCTGGTGCGCTTAATCAAAGCGCTAAAAAAATGCCACCTGTTGTTGAGGAGGTTCGCCGCACCATGAAGAACGTGTGGAAGAGCCGCTTGGATAAGTCGCCACCGGGATACATTATTTAAGGCATCCGTCAGTGGAGGAGAAAGTCCGAAATGCAGATTCTGGACCAACACTTTCTCGAACGACTGTCAACGAAAAACATTCGCTCAGTTTTGGAGAGATAAACTTTGGATTTGCCTAAGAAAAAAAAAAAAAGAAAAAAAATATTCAGTTCTCGACGGCAACTTGACTCACCTTGCAGGCTTCCTTCATCTCCTGAATCCGAGATTTCCGGAGTTGCATGACATGATAATTTTGTTAAACGAGATGTTTAAATTTGTTAAGGCTGAATGTTAAAAAAAAAAATAAGAGGGTACTCCATTCCCAGGAGAATGGTAACTTCGACCTGACAGGGACCGTACCAGCGAATATTTACAGTGAATATTTATTAATGTCTTACTGGAAGTTACCCAGTGATATTCAAAATCGCTGTTACGAGTACTGAGAGGAGGGGATGCTTACTTCTACATGGGGAGATGTGTTAAGAAAAGTATTAAGAAGAAAGTTTAAAGGTAATGCGTTATCAAAATGGTGGCTGCAAGCTGCCGGCGAAACTACAGCATGCATGACAGCTGATATCAATTACCATTTACTCTAGACACATTTTTCCTATTTTTGTAGAGTACGCAATTTTTATCGCTAGTCAAGGAGGCATTCGATGGTACAGCATCTATGGACCAATTTATTCATACATTAAGGATGAAATACTGGCAAGGGGTGGAAACGGATTGCGGTGAAACGTGCGTCTTATACCCGAAAGGAGCATCGATACCCGGCGAGGGGGGAAGCGCGTAGAAATCAATAAGCGAAGCTGCGATTCGCGGGGAACCACCGGATATCGTTCGATAGGTCTTTACAGTGATTTACAGTAATTGCTCGCAAACGGGGGCAAGCGTGCGACGAGCAGGGTAGCCGACTTACATGATGGCCGGGCGCATGTTGGCAGAACTGCAGGTGACACGTAGAGGCGGCCGCGCAAATAATGTTTTTTTTTTCTTCCGTTAGTGTAAGTCGGGCAAGTCGCGTCCAAGTCGGGCAATCGACATGTACGCGACCACCCCCGGGAGATTTTTACATAAAGGTAAAAAGAAAGACATTGAAAAAAAAAAAGATATGTACACCGCGATGACCGCGACATAACTGCAAATATGATTATTTTCTCTGCTTAAAAAAATCCGGCATTTCTTTTAGGGCTTCATCGCCATCCTTTTTCAAATATATGTACGAATTCGGGGAATAATTTCATTTACAATGAAAAGGAGCGAGCGAGTTAGATTAAAGGAAAAGATAAATAATTAGGAGGTAAATTCGAGATTTGATTTTGCGTAATGTTTGGCTTGCTCTCGAAGGGGCTTTGCCGGCGGTTTTCTTTTTTTGTTTGAAGAGTATGTACAAATCTGGGGAGCAATTTACAATGCCCGTGCGGTTACTCCGTGCTGCTCTCAGATCTAGAGCCAGCCAAAGAAAGGCAATATCTAAAGCGAGCAGGTGAAATGCACCAGCTTCGATGGCTTTCTCCTCCATCCTTCGCCGCGGCGTTTGCTCGGAAGCGTGCATTTAATTGTTTAATTGTTACTTTTATCGATGGATTTTGACATTCGGTGCGTCGACCGTGCAATGGCACCGCGAGTTCATTGAAACAGTGCTCGGTTGATGGAACTCAGTGTATTATTTTGTCTTTATGTTGAGTGAAACGCGTAGTAAACTCTTGTCTCTCTTTCTCAAAATTACACTCGTGAGAGGTGCTCTCTCCTTATTTGAGCCATCTTCGAAAATAAGGCCGAGAGTGGGTCTTACCATGCATGACGCCTCGTGTAGTTTGCCGAGTTTCGCCCGGATGAAGGGGCTGGAAAGAGAGGAAAAGATAGTTAAAAAATGGTTAGAAAATTAAGATAAAGATTCTCGTGACTCCTAATTTGCGTCTCACCTAATCTGTCGCCAGAGGAATATCTGGACGGGAATGGGCAAGGCCTGATCCTGAGGGGTTCCATCGTAAGACCGACGTCTGTCCATGTTGCAGTCAGACCTAGGGTACCTGAGAAAAAAGAAAGTCCCAAAAATACACAAAAATTCCCCCCGGTTATTTTACTTTTCATTTCTCACTCACCGTTCCTAAAATACACCTAATACACTTTCTAGGAGAAATGCGTAGTTCAAAGGGCACTCCGCATAAAAAGGTCCACGCAGGATCTTCAATGGATCGCCTGCCACGTGGTGCGCACTCTTGCGACTCTCATTTGGGAATGGCAGCTTGAATTTGTCCAGGATAAAAAGCGACGACTACGTCGGATACCCCGAAGAGCGAGGAGTCGACGTCCACGGAAGACCTTTGAAGAAACTTACGAGACCCTGGGGAGCCACCTAGTCCATTGTGTTGACAATGCGATGGACATTTGAGGACGACGAGCGATTCGTTATCGTTTCAAGAATTCCAGACCACGAAGCCAGGAAGATCCTCGATCGAGTTATCGATTCAGCCCTCGAGGCGTTGAACCGCCCAGGGTCATCAACGGGGAAGGATCCGTCAATCGATTCGGATGATCCTGTTTGAAACAACTTCTTCCGACAGGACTCTTCTGCGCCGCAGCGTTAGACGTCGACGGTTCGCCGGAAAATCGGCGTTTACGTAATCTGGCGTAAATGGACTGCTCCTCGAGGGAGCGACACGTGGCACCCCTTTTGCGACCGATACGGGGATGGTGACAAGGGCGGAGGCATCGAGCGAGGAGGACCGAGGCTTGGCCTGGCCTGGACTGAGAAGAGGAGGCGCCTCCACCCTCGCCTCGCGCTCGCGCAGCCCACGAGAGGAGACGATTGCGCGCGCGACTCGGGGCAATCCAACGCGCCGTCGTCCATCGATCAGCCCAGGAATCTGCCTCTGGACCACCCCGTCAACCCGACGACCTACCGACCCAGCTACACCGGGAGGCTGTAGAAGGAGAAATTCCATCCACCCCGGAAGAGGTGCGGAAAGCCCTCTTCGACTCGTAGGTGGAACGTTAAGGACGTTCTTTCAGTCCCTTGAAGACGTCCACCGATGGTTAGAAGAGTCGCCAAAGGTACGGAATCTGCATCTGGATCATCTCCATGACCTACCGACCCACCTATACAGGGAGGTTGTAGAGGAAAATCCGAGATTTCCGAGTCAGGAGGTGGCGCGGAGATGGAGCCCTCTTCATCTCGTGGATCTTAAGGACGTGGGTTTCTTTAACCGTAGAGATGTTGATGGACTGGTTCCGAGATGTTCCTCTTGTCTGCCAATCGCTGGTTGTAGATATTAGAGAGATTCCGGCTTCTCGCCGTCAGCGTCGCGGAGCTTCTTGTCCAGGAAGCTTTCCACGTCCTTCAGGGTCATGTCCATCTCGAAGGAAATCTCGTCGCCTCTGGCCCGAACCTTCCCCCGTTTGCTTCCACAGGGGATGGGGTTGATCTCGATGCAGACCTCGGTCGTGGCCCCGGACTCCCCAGCTACTCTTCTAGCTTCGTTCCCCACAGCTCTGCAGATGTCGCGCCAAAGCTCCTTCTGGCTAGGATGAAGAGCCACCACGAGCTGCTGGAAGGTCTCCCAGTCCATGTCCTCGTTGCTCTCCAGGATCTTGCGATAAATCGGCAAAACGGGAGAATTAGAAGTCCCGATTTTCCTCGCCTCGACTCCGTTCTCGCCGAGGCTCGAGGCATCCCCTGAAGAGACGTCGTCGTAGGTCACCAATCTCTGCAACTTCTCGGCTGACCTCTCGAACTGGGCACCGGGAAGTGACCTGGAAGCGTTGTCCCCTCCACAGCTGCTGGAGGACACCGCTGGAGCTGGGTTTCTGGAAAACGGAGTCAACTATTATGTTTGAGAAAACCAGACCTCCCTTGAACTCGGATCAGCAGTACCTGTAGGTCATCTTCAGGGACTCCTCCCTGGATTCGACGCTGGTCGTCGGGGCGCTTATCACGACGTACTGCTGCCTGGCCAAGGATCGCTCCCCCTGTCTCGAGTCCTTCGAGGTCTTCTTCGGCGTCGGTGCCACTTTTCCTGTCCAAACGGCTCTGATCGCCTCTTCAACAACCTCCAGAGACCGATTCGCTCGACCACCGCGCCTCGATGGAGGAATCGGTGGCAAGGACGGTGATTCGGACACGGATTTCCCTTCGCTACTTGTGCCCCTTTCTTTAATATTCTCCAATTTCCCTCCATCATCAGGATCCTCTTCATGGACGTACAGCTGATCTTCGGATATGGTGGAACATCCAGCGTACCGGTCGATCGCCTCTGCGATCCTCTCCCTGATGTTCCTGACGATCTCTCCGGTAGTCTGCGTTCCAGCGAGGACTGGAACCGTTCCTTCGCGTTCCGGGACCTGTGCCGGTTCCCTGGAATTTTTATCAACAGGAACCATCCATTCACGGATCATGTTCTCCGCCGAGGACGAGCTGAAGGCCGTCGTGTCGCTTTCGTTCAATGGTCCCGCAGGATGGGTCGTGGGGTCCTCCGATCCGACCGCATTCAGAATTGCTGATTTTTTAATTATAAATAATTTAGGAATAATATAAAACGACTCGCCAGAATACGCCAGGAGGTTTCTAGAATACATTCGATATGGATATATTAATTTATTATTCTTACCTTGATTTTTAGCACAATTTCTAATAGACTCCTGCCCTGAACCTCGAGCTCGACCCTGACTCGGGGCCTGGCTTCTCGGTTCCTCGGTCATGTTCCTGACCCTTTGATCTTCGTACAACCAAAACCCAGAGCGACCTCTTGGGTCATCGTCGCGACTACCGTGAAGAGTGAAGCTTTGACGAGGTTTTTCGAGATCTGGGCGTCTCTTTAGTACTCCGATTTCTTCCCAAGGAGGAGGAAGGTCCATCTTTTTGCGCTCAGTTGGAGCAGGGTCGAGTCGACCACTCGCTAAGTACTTCACCGTCTCCACCAGGTCTGAAGGAATTCCTGAAGACTCGCATTCTCGGTCCCTTCGATACAGGGAATGTCGCTTTTTCGAAGCATCGTCTCGAGGAAGCGACGAGGTCGCCTTCGCGACCTCCATTTTGATCCCATCCGTGTTTTCAGTTTCTCGTTTCGAGAGATTCTGGGGATTTGGGGGATTCTGGGGATTCTGGGGGTTTTGGGGACACGGGATGCCGTGAGCATTCAGGGTATTCCTTGAGCTAGCATGCTGCTTTAATGCATTCATAGTGGAGTTCTCCTCTTTCGTCTCCTCTCGACCCTGATGAGCCTCCACATCCTCGACTTCCGGTGCTAGCTTCGTCCCTGAGGTCGACCTCGGCACCAAAGACGGTTCCTTGGTCAAGTCAACCTGCGGAGGTTCGTTGATGGACCTCGATGTAGCTATCGGGCGTCGTCGACTGGACTCGTTGGAAATTTTCTGCGACCTTGAAGAGCATCTTTGAGTCCTTTCTCGATGACTTCTCTCATCTCGAGGTCCTTTCCGCTCCCTTCTCGAGATCTGCGACCCGGAAGCCTTGACTCTTCTCCTGCTGATGACTCCACAATGTCGACACTTGGTGAGCGAGTTGGAGCTCTCGAGGAGGTCGTCGAGTCTGCTCTCGTCCATGGCCCACTCCCCGATGAGGCTCTTCAGCCTCAAAACCGCCTCTTCGTACATCCTGGAGGAGCTGGACTCGCGGCCGGCGTTCCGCAGGATCTTCTTCAGGGCTCCCAGCTCGATGCATGGAAGTCGTCCGAGACTCGCTTGCTCTTCATGGCCGACCCCTTTGCTTCTCGTCTCTCGATTCTCTCGGGGATCCTCGGTTGTCTTGGTGTCTTGCACCTGGTGCGACGGTCTGGTGGGTTTGGGGACCAGGCAGGTGGCCAGAGGTGCTGGTCTCACGATGGTCACCTCGACGAGACCGGATTTATCTCTTTTTCCTGGCGTTTTTCCTCCAGGTCCTCTTGGTCCCATGGTTCCTCCTGGTCCTTCTGGTCCCACTTCCGGCATCATCGGGTCCCTCGACATCGCCGAGCAAAGACTCTCCGTTACCTCCACCTCCAGCAACAACTGCACGCTGTCGCCGACCTCATTTTTATAGGCGTTTCCGGCCCCATCCATCTCCCGGCCCAGAACCAACAATGGCTGATGGTTCATGGTTTTCTTGGATCACCGACGGGAATTTACCGGCCCAAAGGAATTAGGTTAATGCACGACAGGGTGGAAGCGAGCCGCCTCGCCCCCACGACGACCCCCCGCAAAGCGCGCTGAGATCGAGCTCGATATTCCCTGAAACTTGAACTTAGCTCCGAATTTGTTCCCAGATTTTTCGAGGCTGCGTCGAGGGGTCGAGGAATATTCCGGATGCTTGACTCCGGCCGGAATCATTGCGGAAAAGTCGCGGAAATATGTCGGCCGCCGCCGGCCGGCGCCGTTTGCGCAATGTTCGTCGCCTTTCTTCAGCACCTCTGAAGATTCGCAGATTGAGAGGACTTTGAATTTCCGACTCGGTCCGAGACATGTCCCAACCACAAACCGGAGTGCAGCCCCCGAGGACGGTCTTTGCAGGTCTGGCGAAGCTTTTCGAAATTCGAGGCCATTTTTTGAATTTTTATCTCGGTAATGGGCGACTTCGAAAAATGTTGTCATGAATTTCCGTCGACAGAGGATGGGTACAAAGGTAAAGCAGAAGCTGCAGAGGTTCCTGACGTCCCGGAAATTTCGGAAAATCGGAAATTTGAGACCGTCGAGTCCTTTGCCAGGAATTTGGTGAATGGCGTCACGGCGAAGGCTCTCGATTCGTTGGAATCGAGTCCAGATCCGGAAACCGGCGCAGGTCTGATCAATTTCTGGGATTTTGGATAATTATGAATAGTTTCCGGATATTACAAAAATTTGTTTCGAGGGAAAAATATTTTTTACAGAGAAAGTTCAAGGAGATTCGCTAACTAAGGCTAGGAGATTAAATCTGGATCCGATGAGCACTCGTGGAGAGGTTGATGGTGCCGTTTCTTTTCCACTCGACTTTGCCGTTTCAAGTTCAAGTCCGACTTCAGGTCCAAGACCAAGTCCGGATGAAAGAAATTCCCCTCCTTGTCCAGCTTGGCCTCCGATCGGCGACTCCACCTTCGTCAGGAAGGTCTCCGGTCTGGAGAGACAACTGAAAGAAGCGTTGGCCGCCTTCAACGTCGGCTCCGAGGACGTGGGTCAGGGCGACGTCGACGAAAGGTTCGTTCCTGAAGTGGTCCTACCCTCTTCAGGGTCGCCAGTCGTCGAACCTCCGGAAGACCTCGTCAAGGTTACCGAAGAAGACCCACCTGAACCGGTACCTGAGGGACCTGGGCTTCTACCTCCAGGCAGGATCCAGGACCCTGCGCTTCTCCCTGAGGACAAATTCGAGGACCCTGGAGACCTGGAGACCTCGACAACTCCTGTGGAGATCTCGGAATTTAGCGAAGAGGATTTAGGTAGAGTCAGACATTTCGAAATCGCGGCCTGGGAGGAGAACGAAGAGGAACTCGTCAGGATCATCGAGGCGGCTGAGAGTTGTCGCGACGAAGAGGAGACCCAGGAAGACGAGGATCCTGAAGAAGACAACAACGAAGACGAAGAAGAGACGAGGTCTCGGAAAGAGGACGACGAAGGATCCCTGGTGGAGGTGCAGCTTTCCTCGCCGACCTCGACTGCCTCCAGCCAACATTCTCTGAAGAAAAGGCCCTCTTCGACGCCTGCGACGCCGCTGGAGACATCGACGCCCGTTTCTTCGCCATTGCCACCGACTTCGACGCCGAAGGATGCGACCTCGACGCCGCCGTTCTCCACGCTAGAGAAAAAGGGAAAGAGAAAGAGTCTCGGCTCCAGAGTGTGGAAAATGTTGCGTTCGGCGTTCCGTCAGCGTCACGATTAAACAATAGAAAATGAACATGGATGCTGAAGACTCGGGAATCACAAAAAATGCGAGGTGGAAAATGGCGATCTTAAACCAGCGCACTTATCTCGGAGATTCTAGGACCTTTCGGAGCTTGGGGCGAAATAGGGGAGTCGCAGGAAAAATCGGCGGAAAAGTCGAAAATAGAAGCAGCGGCCTTGAAGTGTCGAATTTATTTCTGAAATCCTGAGACCACGTGGAGTTATGATCGGGGGAAGAAATCGGCAAAAATTCGAAACGATCGATAAATGCAGCCACCTCGTGATGAATTTATTCCCGAGGTCCTGAGACCTCAGGAATTTATGATTCGCGAAGAAAAAAGAAATTGCGAAGAAAAAAGAAATCGCGAAGCAAAAACCGGAACAACCTTGGTCGACGAAGCCGAAAGCTCCGATCCCAGGCGAAGAAGAGGAAGGTTTATCGCTTAGCGAGCACGTCGGGCTGTTTTTGGAAAGCGGCGTTGCCGTCTCTCTCTCGGAGCTTTTTTCGTCCTTCGCCCATGACGCTGGTGGAGGCACGAGGGTGCTCTGGTGAACGAAACGGTACGAGTCTCGAATATCCGCCGATCGAGGCGCCATCTGTGCCGATAAAATGACCGGACTCGGGGCCTCGAGAGCGCACTCCTCGTTCACGCTCGGTCCAGGAACTTTATCAGGGAAACCGTCCTCCGCCTGTCGCATCCATGGTGAGTACTACATCCAAAAAGCCTCCCGAGTCCCCCCCATAATTATCCACATCGATAACGCTCAATTTTCCCCGCAGGCTGATCTCAACCCCAGGGACATCGAGAGTGAGTAACGACGTCTTTCCTGGTCCGCCATTTTCCACTTCATCCCGGCAAACCTCAAAGAAACGGCACTTCCGGTTCGATAACGAGCCGATAATCCATTTCTTTAGTTCAATACCTAAAAATCGGCGAAGAAGATCGTGTAATCGTCTCTTGGGCATCGGCACCTGAGGGGGTTTCCGTGCATTCGGTTTAATTTCTTTTCTTTCAAGACTTCCGGAAGTGCGAGGCGAACCCGGGAATTGTGAAGAAGGTCTTAAAGAGAATTTTAGTTTCTTGGGAGGTTTAATAATAATAGAGAAATTTGGGGTGTGGGAAATTACCGTAGGAGTGGATCGTGGGGTCTTTGTCGGTTGTTGGTACAGAAATAGTCCGTCGTTGCGTAAGTCCGAAACATCCGGGTCCGCGATTCGATCGGAGGTTCGAAAATAGTCGGCTCTTATATGGGCCGCGTCGGCGTCGCGACGCGTCGTAACCCGAGCGTCGGACGAGCCGACGAGACGAGACTCGCGGCCTAAAGATAGCCGGAGAACTCTAGCCTCTCGTCTTCGACCTCGAGGGCTAAGCTTCCCTTTCTGGTGCAGAGGCGGAGTTCGCCTTCTCCATCTACGACACCACCGGGACCAACAACATCGACGCCTTCGACCTGGGCGACGTGTTGCGCGCCCTGAACCTGAACCCGACCAACGCAACCATCGAGAAGCTGGGTGGTACCAAGAAGAGGGGCGAGAAGACCCTGACCTTGGAGGAGTTTCTGCCGATCTACAGCCAGGTCAAGAAGGACAAGGACCAGGGTTGCTACGAGGACTTCCTGGAGTGTCTCAAGCTCTACGACAAGGCCGAAAACGGGACCATGTTGGCGGCCGAGCTCTCCCACATGCTGCTGTCTCTCGGTAATTACCCTTCACTCTAAAGAGTGCTCCAAAAACACCGAAGGGTACTCTAAAGAGTACTCCAAAAACACCAAAGCCACGTGGTTCCTAATCAACCTCGACTTCCAGGCGAACGACTGACCGACAAGGAGGTCGAGATCGTCCTGAGCGAGTGCATGGACCCAGAAGACGACGACGGATTCATCCCCTACGCCCGTGAGTAGTCTCTCGCGGGGACCCCATAAACCCCCTCGACCCCGTCACCCCGTAGAGATTGAACGATTGTAAAGATTTTACCGCCTGCCCCGAATGCACCCATTGCATCGATCGATCGGATCGTACGTAGATTTGGCCCCGAATGCACCTATTGCATAGATCTATCGGATCACACGTAGATTTGGCCCCCAAGAGTATGGACCCCGAGTTTAAGGTCCTCCACCCAAAAAGCCCCGATTGGTCCCTTTAGCGAGATCGCGAGACCGCGACCCCATAGGGCAAGATGACCACGTGGACCATGAACCAGTACCCCGTACAATCCCACGGTTGACCGTCCCCTTTGTCGTTTGCAGCATTCGTCCAGAAGCTGATGTCCTAGACTTGGTGGTCGGCGATTTAAAAATAATAAGAATCTCCACCCCGTAAGTAGACCCCGTAGCAATTCCTCGCCTGCTTGTCTCTGTCTTTCTCTCCGTCTTTCTATGTATCTCTCTCTCTCTCTCTGTTTATTTTTCTGCTCTTTCGCTCTCGCTTCCCTGCCTCGCCTCTTGTGATCCGCGTCTTTGCGCGCACTCGTCCGGCAAGCTTTCATCCACTTTCCGACAGCTCTACTCCGAGGGACGCAGCAGACAGAGACACCGAACAACGTCGATAACACGCTACTCGCTCCCCGGCAGACACCGAGGCAAACTGACGTCTCGTCGGCGCTTACTATCTAATTTCTTCGGATTTCTTGCAGACCCTTTCCGCCATCTTGGATCCGCTATGGCGTCCCCTCGGGCGCCGCCACTTCGGTTTCCCGAAGAGGGGAAAAGAACCAAGATGCCGGAAAGGGGAAAAGGGTGCATGACTACTCTGCACCCTGGAGGCCGCTCTTCGAGGTCCTGTCGTCCACCCTGAGAGAAATAGTGCCGCAAATGCGTCACGCATACAAAAGTGCTATTTATAACGCTATTTCCCTCGAGCTGCTGAAAAGAATTCTTTGAGTGGTGCCGAAGAAATATTTCCTAGGTTCAATTAATAACTTGGCTCGTATGAGCTCAAATGAATTGTCATCGTTCCGGAGAAACGTAGCATTCAATGTATTATATTAATTCACGTTAAATAATTAGCCTTTGGATTAGTCATTTATTTCTTTCGTTCTGTTTATTGAAATATTTCTTCGGTTAGATGATGCATTTCTTTTGGAGTGATCAAAGAACCTTCTAAGAGCGGCCGAAAGTGCGCCTTTCTGTGTACGTTTTCTTAAGACTCCTCAGGGTCGTCTTCGTGTTTTGACTCGGATATTTCTCCTGTTCGCAGCGTTCCTTAAAAGAATGTGCGACAAAGCGGCAGCGGGCGACGATTAAGCGCAGCGGACAAGCAGCCGAAGAACTGCGCTCGGCCCTGGTCCCGTGGCGAACGTGGACCACCCTCTTCGAGGACCTCTTCGGGCCCAGAACTTCGGGGATCGTGCGCCCCCTTACTCCCAGTATTTTCCTCCCAGCTGAGCGAAACGACCCCCGAATTCGGAGGTGGTGAAAATATCCAGAAAGCCGATTCGGGGACCGAGGTTCGCCGGCACGGCATCTTCTTCATCGTCATCCGTCTCGCCCCCAGGTCCGGGATTCGAACGATTTGGCCACTCGCGTCCATGGGAATGTCACAGGGTGGGGCGGCGGAAAGGACCCCTTATCGCCAGCTGTCCGCTCAATAAATGATAACTCATCATGCATCGATTTCTGACCTCTCAGCTGACTCGGCAGGATCTGCTCTTCGGGTACTTCGTATTTATTTATTCATCCGCGATTCGGGATGCGATCTTAAGACGGTAGCTAAGGAGTACTAGAGCAGGATCTTGATGAGTATTTAAAGCAACGGAAGGACTTGAAATCTGGATCCATCCTGGAGTCTGTGCATCTCCTGGACGTGAGCGACACTCGTCTCGTCGCCCCTCGTGTTTCGCACCCCCGGGAACCCCCTCGAAATCTCATCTTGCCCAAGGCGCCGTTTCGCACCTAATGGAACACTCTGTTATTTTGCATACCATTGCTAATTAATAAACTGCACTTCCGTCCTCGGTTAGTGCCAAAAGTCGCTGCACTTCGTCAATTCCTCCTGATCCTCCTCCTCCGCAAATTCGGGGACGAGTCTCCTCGGAGATAACTGCGTAAGAAATATTCATCAATGCGGGGAATACATTAGTTTTTTCTTTTTTTAATTAACACCCGACGCGGTTCACCAAAAAGAAAAGAATCTTAAACCTTTAGAAACTTGCCCGGGAATTCATGGAACGGCAAAACCAGAACAATGAGCAGTGATGGAGAATTAAAACTAAATCGAACCCCGGAAGTTATTAGATATTAAAATATTAAATAATATAAAATGTAGTCCAAGGTCAGTGCTCCTAAATTTCTGTTTAATCCCTAACCTCCATTACTCTAATTCAATGATCTAAAACCCGTGTTAACTTGTCATATCTACTTGGAACCTGAAAATCAAAAGAAAAAAAGAAACCAGACAATATAAATACCGTCTTAAAATCCGCATAAATTTTTCCTAAATTCCTCATAAATTCCGCATAAATTTCCTTATCACGCGTCTTTCCACCCCGAGTCTGCCCTCAGTTCCGCGCGATCTCACGAGGGGTCGCGGCCGATGCGCTTCGGGTGCACTCGGCAGCGCTCGGCCACTCTCGGCCGCGGAGGCCGCGGAGTGGGGGTCGAGTGCGCGCGCGTCGCACCTCGGCCCACATCTCGGCGCCTACCACCTCGCATCGTGCATCGCGCGCCTCCGCATCTCGCTGCGTCGACGGCGACGACGGCGACGACGCCGACGAGGACGCTCACCAGCGCGGGAGGATGGCGGAGGTCCAGGCGAAGCCCTGCCCGACCGGGGAGGCCGTGGCGCCCTCGAGGATACCCAACGCCGTTTCCGTGACGACATCAAGACGGCCAGGTGAGTCTGTCGGAAGTGATCCTTCAAAATCGTACAAAAAGGAGCAAATGAAAAATGAAAAACTAAAAAACTGAAAATAAAAACAGGGGAAGGGAAAATTCAGGTTAAAAGGGGATTGTCATGAAGTGGGATGGCTTTTTGGACACGAGGAATGTTATTTCTCCACCTGAAGTGGATTCCCCAGAGAGGGGAAGGTAGTCGAGGAGACGTCGCGACGCACTCGGGAGGCGGGACGCGTGGGCGACCTCGGCGTCCGATTTTCTCAGCCGGTGGCCGTCCGGTCGGCCGGATTAGGGGCAGTCTCGTATCGGGGACGAGCTTGGCATTTACCGCGGGCGCGCGAATGAATTCGCGCAGTCCCGCGGACGTAGGGGATCAAGGTCCACCTCGTTAAGCGCGCCGGCCTCGTTCGACGAGTTACGCAGCAAGCCGGTGGCGAGTCTGATCGGAAGAGAGAGGACTGAATGAGAGACGAGCTCCTTCAGGGCCTAGAATCTCCTGAGATCCCCTAGGATCCTCCAAGACCCCTAGATATCGAGAGCGCCATCGGCTGGAAGGAGTAAAACACGAGTTTGAGGAGACTCCTTGTGTGGGTTTTGAGAGAAAATTTGTAAGTCAAGAGATTTTTTAATCGAATTCTACAGCTGAGACAGTTTTACGGGGAGACGGAGAGAGGACGGAGGGAGGATTCCATGGGAAGGCTCGAAGGACCCCTCGGTAACCGCGATACGAAAGGGATACACCACTTCCTGCCTCCTTGGTATCGACCAAACTCCGGACTCTTCCCGTGTACACCGGACTTCGGAAAATAGGGAATCTTTTCTGCCCCTCGGCGTCGCGACGGACGCTCCGCGGGTTCGCCGACCCCCCGCGAACCTCGTCCTAGACGGGCGGAATCGACGCGATTGGATTCTCGAGAGAAATAAAAAAATGGCTCCTACCGTCCGAACTCCCAAGACTTTCCACCAAGGTATCTCGTTATAAAGATCCTACTTTAATTAAAACCACTTCGGAAGAGTCGAGTTATCCTGATAATTTCTTATCAATCGCAGATTTCGATCCCGCCGTCCTTAAGCCATGGGAATTCCGCGGTTTAACGACCCCCCACGAAGTTAGCTCCGAGGTGAATTTTCAGGGAAATAGTTCCTATCGAACCAACTTTCACGATTTTCCATCAATAACGGGGTATGATAATCCTACATTTATCGGTAACGCTATAAAAGTAGACTTCGCTATCAGTCGAGGTCCTGGTCCTTTTCTTAAATGATGTCTACTCGTTGGTAAGGTGCTTGCAAAGAGAGCTACCTCGTCAGGAAGGAAATACTCTGACTCTTGTACTTCGTCGCTGTCGGCGAGTGTCGGCGAGTGTCGGCGTTATCGTGTATGATAAGGCAGACGACCCCCCGCGAACCGCCGGCTGGCAGCGCTACCGTCCCTGGACGAGGTTCGCCTTCACCTGAGTATACCTGATCAGCTGACTGGAGCAGGTTAAGTCAGCGCTAAAATAGCCGAGGACGTCGACGAGATACGCCCAGACTAGTCGCGGGTTACGAGTCAAGAGTTACGAGCGACGAGTTACGGACGGAGAGCAGCGAGCTGAGCCCCTGTCCCCGGACCGAGGAGGCGCGTCGATGATGTCACGAGCCAAAAGCGAGTCGGCGTTTCAGCGATTCTTCGATTCGGCGAGATCGCCGGACAGAATTAGTCTCTGGTGACACCGATCGGCCGCGACTAATCGGCCCCATCGGCTCGATATGGGGACCGGGAAAGGGTTTGATTACTCGCTGATTACGGAGCGCGTTCATCTTATGGCGGAAAATCCCCGCGGCACGATCGCCGGACGGAATTACCCGCTGGGATACCGATCGGCCCTATCGCCTCAGTTTGGGATCCGGGAAAGGGTTAGTGGCGATGGATTATGCCTTATTTCCATACTCGCGGAATCACCTGTCTCCGAGACGTTCCACGTCGCATGGAAATGAGGCATTACACGCCGATCATGGTACGTGTTCATCTTATGGAAGAAAATCGCTGCGGCGAGATCGTCTCTCCTTTGTGGCGGGGCTGGGTACGAGAAGAGGGGAGGATTTTTGTAAGGGCTGAGCCCCTCGACTAGGAGGAGATCGCTCGGGAAGGGTGCGCTCCCCGATGGTGAGGGCTCGACTCGACGCGAGAGCGAGCGAGACCGAGCGATGCCGCGCGCGGCGGGCTAGAGAGAGACGCAGAGAGGGCGAGAGAGGCGCGCGAGGGATGCGCGAGAGCAACGGACCCGGCTCTGATCGATACCGCGACGCAGCATCCCTCGCTCCGCCGGGCTCGAAGTCTCGACTCGAGACACCTCGAACCTCCGACTCGATTTCCAGAGGTATTCGACCTCGAACTTCGCGAGAGCTCTTTAATGATCGAGATAGGGAAACCCAATTCAAAGGCGATTTTTATGAAAATCTAACAACCCCTCAATTCGGCGCGATCTAGGATTCGTGTCAAGGTTTCATCTCAGGCGGTTCTTCAGGGACACATTTTTCATATAAAAAATTCCAAGTCGGAGAAGAAGTTCACCTGAAGTTTATCGAGATCGTGTTCATTCTGGAACTTAATGAATCTCTCCTAATTCAAGTCATTCCGAAATCGATCCTTGAAGTGATTCAAGGGCGAGCAACAAGTGGTTCAGGGTGGAAGTGCCAAAAACCAGAGTTTGATCGGAGTTTGATCCTGACTCCAAATCGCTTCTTCGGGTTCTTCAAGTTCCGAAGGAACTCGTCGGTTCCGGCTTCCTCGGAGGGGAGTTCTCGTCGTTCCTGCCCACGTCTCTTCGCGTCGTTTAACTCCTCTAATTGGCCCTGACGACATCGGGAAAAACCGTGCCCTTCTTCGGGTCGCTATCGATCACGGTTACCCACGTCGTGGGTGGATTGGCACAATGTCTGATGTCTGAATTTTTTCATGAGCTATCGGCGGCAAGGTTTATCGACTGGGTATTTTTAAGAAGAAGGTCACCCGCGTAGAGAACTTCCTGCTTTTCCCTTTGTGCATTCTTATTGTTCATTCCCACCTGGGACATTGTTTTCTGCGCGGTCTCACGATGCGGAGGGGCGTCGCCTTCCTCTTCAGGTACGCGACGCGCAATGTCCAGGAGTGCCTTCGCTTCGCAGGGTAGATTTGTTGATATGGCTGCCTATTAATATTATCACGTTATTACGTAATCTGGAGGTTCTGGGTATATCTGGCCTCTTCAGGGTGCGTTGTCCGATCGATCTGTCGGAAGGGGCGCACCCTGTCGCGGTCTCGGGCTCGCTTTATCGCGCCGCTCCTTGTGGACTCGCGAGATGGACAAGGCGTCGTTCATCGCTTGCCTCATCGGCCTATTGGTCTGCCTAATGGCCCGAATCGACCACTCGCGCCCAAAATTGCCTCGTTAACGTTGCGATCGCGATCGCGGGCGCTTCTCTCGAGCCGGCCGAGAAAGAGGCGGCCTTCTTCTCGAGCACGACGCCGCGTCGGCCGCGCCTATTCGGGGTCTTTACCCGACGCAAGGATGGTATCTCCTATCCGGGAACGAGCAAGAAACTCAAGGAAATACCAGGGGTCTTTTCATGGGGGGAAACTCGTGAAATGGTTTAAGAAACTCCAGGAAATACCACGTGTCTTTATAATGAAGGAAATTCGTGAAATAATCGGAGAAACTCCAGGAAATACCAGGCGCCTCTTCACGAGGGAAATCATTTGAGGGACTTCAGGGAATGTCGCGTGTCTCTTAACGGGGGAAATTCGTGAAATAATTTGAGAAATTCCAGGGAACTTTTCATAAGGGAAAGTCGTGAAATAATTTATATAAATTTCCGAAACGATCTGGAGTTCTTCAGTTTCGAGGGTACAATTAATTCGTCATGGTACTTGTGTACCGCTGCCATGTTGCAATATGGCGGCGTGGACGGTACAGAGTGAAGAATACAATTATTGAGAGCACACCTAGTCTCTTTTGCATGATGGTAACACCACCGAGGCGTTCCGCTGTAAATTCCTCCCTATAGAAGTTACCTCTGGCCCGGATTTATAGATCGGAGCAATAATAGAACGCCGATAGAGATTATTGTCCGGGGTTGAGGACCATTGGCCGAGTGCATCGACTGCGTCATATTCATTCGCCCTCGGAAGCTGGCTTTCTGCCAGCCATCGTCCATCCTTCGACACGAGCTGCTATGTTGAACCAGACCTCGTATATTGAAGTGGCATTAGGTCGTTTGCCCAGACTCTCACGCATCGTGTATACCCGAGTTAATGTACACCCTGAAATCGAGAAGATTACCACGTACCCCGAAGAGCACCTTACGCCACCTGTTCGTGTTCTCTCGCGAATCCCATTTCCGGGCCGATATCGAGATCGCTGACTTTACGTCTTCGTGCCTCCTGCGCGTTTAACGGCGTGCATTGTTTGGCGAAGCTTTTCTCGAGGGTCCTCCACTTCTGCTGACATTGCCGACCGGTGGCCATTAACGCCGTAAAGTGTTGCAGATTTGCTGACAAGTCCTCGAGCTGCACGCGGACGTCTCCGACACGGAGCTGATCCGAAGTAAAAAGTCTAATCTAAATTCCCCTCCCCTCCTGGGATCTCTTTATCGCGACCTCGTTTATACCAACGTACGCCTCCAAGATATTTGCAAAATGTACACGACGATGCATCTCGAGGGTACTTCGTTCTGTCGATTTTATTGCGATTTAGAGTTCTTTCCTCTTCGGCAGCCGTGGAAACAAGATGGCCGCCCGCCAACGCCGCGCGAAATACGACGCTAGACGGTATGAATTTTCGGCGAGTCTGCATTCCGCGCGTCTGGCTCGTCCATCAAGGGAAGGATGGGAAAATGGGAGCCGACCACCCGTGGGATCGGCGAGAGGAGTCGGAATCGATTTTGCTCGAAGAGAAAGAAAGGGAGCTCGACCCGTCCCGTCCGCAAAGGCGGAACTTCGCGGGGCTTCCTGGCCGGGACGGATTAGGCGGACCCTCCGCGTCCCTCCGCACCCCCGACTCGAACTTGCCGCGTTTTACCTTCGTTGGGGTGTTCATTTAATCTTCCCCTCGGCAGGGCCGTCTCTTATTTCCTTTTCGGGCCAGGGTTGCCGCCCCTGCGCTTCATTTTTCCTTCCTGCACTTTTTTTTTGTCCATAATTTTTTACATAACTTTATCGAAGAATTCCACCTAAATGAAGGGTTATTTATACACAATTTCTCATCTAAAGAATTATTTCCTGGGGTGATTTAAACTCGTCCATCAAGGGCGTCTGTTATTTCCTATTCAGGCCAGAGTTGCAGCCTTTTCCTTCCATTTTCTTAATTGAAGACTTTTTCTTCATCATTTTTTACATGAATAGTATTGCAGAATTTTATCGGAGTATTTTTAAACGGTTGTTTCATGTATTTTAATGCGACATTAGTCGCTTCGAACAGCAGGTGGCGACAGGATCGCCTCGTCGGTGGCGCCATTACTCTGGTGGTAATGTAGGTGCTTATCACAGGGTATCAGTGTTCTATACTGCATACCCACCGTCGTAGGGTATTATCAGGAAATGATTCCCTAGGTTTAGGTCCTAAAAAGCGGGGATCGTTTTAGCTATTCCTGCTCGAGGGCGCCACGCTTCTCTGCCAGAGGACGAGTGCACTTTTTCTACTTTTCACTGACAGGAAAAATGCAATTACCATTAACGCCATTAAGCCTGCTAGAGTATTAGTATCAATAAAATGGAATTAAATACCCGAGGAGAGGAGACTGACGATGAAATCGTAAAACGGAAATCTTTATTGAATATTAAATACTGATATAATTATTTTAAGAGTTGCAGGGAAAGGATGCACTCGTTATCGCGTTTCGGTGTTCGAGTACTGAGTCACTTATTTCCGGAGCCTAATTATCGCCACTGGAAAGGCGTCGGTATTAAATTGAGCATTTGATATAAAAAGGCCTAACTGAGACGGAATACCGATTAATTCGCAGAAGCGCTCTTATAAGGCCGAATCGATATAGGAGATCAGGAGATACGGTCTTTTTATATCGCCGTCGCTTCGGCTGAATGCACTGTAAGAACGCCGCTCGTCGGGAAGCCATTTTAATTCCTAGCCCTCCTGAAAAGCGGCGTTTACGGCGGAATTAAAAAAGCGCCTTTGGCCATCGTACCGCGAGGCATATTTAATACCCATTACTGCGGAACTTTCTGGCTTTTTTTCCCTACCAAGGTGTTTTGTCTCCACCCCATAGAGGGGAAGTCGGGGAACGGTGGAGCGTGACTATCGAGGCACTCGCTTTGATATGGAAACCTCTGTGGAAGTATCACCGGTCTGCTTGACATCGGGCATCGTGTCGAGGAGTCATTAAACAAGGAAAAGAGTCATTAAACAAGGAAAGGAGTCATTAAACGCAGGATACACATGGATAAACATTTTCCGGCTGGGAAAGGCAGGGATTTTTTTGACAGCGTGGGACGTTTCGACTATCGAGACACCGTGGGAGTACTTTGAATAAATTCTCAAGATCTCGATCTGCATCTTGAAGGAATATAAATGCGGCACGACCCACGATATCCCAGGGAAAGAGTCGAGTGGGTATGTGCAGATGCATCGTTGCACCTGCAACGAAAAAAGTTGCACCGTCCACCAGGAAATGTCGTCGACATACGTCGATTTAGGGTATCCGAGGATGCATGGCGGATTTTGGGAAGGTGCATAGGGAAGGTATCAACCTCCGCAGGGACTATTCTTATCGCAAAAGCAAGAGCGGAGTTCCCAATTAAATCCGCGATGATTGCTTCCGTGATTGCAACAAATGCGAGGCACGCGAGGCCGCGCAATGTGCTCGGATAATTTCCTCTTTGCGCGCCAAACCTAAGGGGGTGGCTTTAGTTTCTGTAATTTTTAATTATACCCCCCTGAGCGTGTCACCTACTTGGCTATTTCGCGCGCACTGGTGCGGATTACCACCCACTACCACCTACGGCCGCCCATCGCCACCCACTGCCACATATCGCCACCCACCGCCACCCACTACCTCCTTACGGCGCCCTCTGCCTGTACAGTCGAACAAAGCCGAACGATTCCGAACAATGCCGAGCTTCACCGAGGTTTACACGAGTACGCGATATAGTGTACACACCGCACTCGCACGCGATCACTAGACTCGTGCTCGCGAAAGGAGTCGGACCCGACAAGGGAGTGTTCTCTTCCAGGTAAGTGGTTCTCCCCCAGGATATCACCCATAACCGGACAGAAATAGAACCAAAACTCCCTGAACTTCCCTATCAAACTAAAAACGAAAAAGAATTCCACACCTCGTGTGATAAGAAAAAGTCGTGCCTGGAAGTGTCTACTGTCAGGCTCGAAGTTGACGGAAACTCGGTAAATGGCGGTGAATTGTTAATAACCTCCAGAGAGTGGGTTGAAGTCCTATCTCGGGTGTCAAATTATACGTCCCTTGTGTTTACACGGTGATGGTTATTTATTTTCTTTTATTTTTGAGGGTTACATCTTGGAACGTAAATTGGAGGTGGATGACACGTTTCAGGAGGTCTTCGCACGTGTTCGTTCTTCGGGGCGCCGAAAACCCTCGGAATTTCGACGACCCATTTTTACGGTGCACGGGGATACTAAATTATAGTTCTGTCATTGGGGTAGTAAAGGGTGTCGGCACGCGTGTCGCGTGCGCGTGGATGTGCGTCTCGCGTGTCGTGAACGATCGAAGCTCGTTCTACATTTCCACCCCCACAAGGGGTGTATTCATGAGTAAAGGGTGTGCCACGTGAACCTCCTCAAATCTCCGAGTCCTTCGACTCACGAATCCCAAATTCTTGCCCCGATTACGTCGCTTGCCCCTTACTTTTATTCACTTTAAAAGTACTGAAAAAAAAAAAAGAAAAAATTCGGATTTCTTTACTTTCTTAAGGTGAAACCCGGCGAAGGGTTGCGGCTTAATTGGGGAGGTTCGAAAAAAGACCTTTGATCGATCGGCCCTTGGTTTCTGGCGCATCCTGGCCGGTCGATGGGTCGGTACCGAGGCACACGCTGGTGCACATTCGTGCGACATGCATGAACGTCTTTATCAACCCCTTGTCGAGAAATCGGTCTCTCTAAGTCGGTACACAGATCGAACGATAATTCACTTCCAGAACCTAAGGGATGAATTTTTAGAGCCATTGAATATGGGCCCTACTGATAACAATCGATAGAAATTTACATACATCCTTACACACCCAAGGGAAGTCTCACATTGAACGTAAATTCGAAAAATTACGAATTAAAAAATACATAAGTATACGTAACATTGTATGTTTAATGTATTAGTGGATGTCCACTTGAATTAAACATGCCATTAATAATTCTCTTTAATATAGATACTGAATTTAATATTACTGCAATTTATTGTGGCGTTAGAATAACAAATCATTGAGTATGTAAATTTACGTGGGCATTTTTATCATTGAATGGATATCACAACGCAATATTTACAATGTCATATGTCAGAAAAAAAAATAGAAGAATCGTTCCGTCAATGCAGAGTCGGGTATCACGAATTACCTTCGGACTCCTTTTCTTATTACTACGAGGTACCTCGACCTTGAGATCTAATTCTACTTTTAGACTGCGAAGGGTCGAGTCTCTAATCTCTCTCGTATGTCTCAGAGGGAGGAGAATCGATAAGAGGGGGAAAGGCGACACCTCGCGAAGCCTCGGCTTCTTCGGCGAAGTCCTCGAGAGCTTTCGGAGGGTCAGAGGTCGGGAAAGGTATACCGGGAATAATCGTAAGTAAAAAGCGTCTGGAGGTTAAAAGCGGGGCAACGCTCCAACCACCGAGGCACGCACGTCGTTACATTCACCCTGGCTCCTTTGCATAAAGCCTTATCGAACGAATATAAGCCAGACAGGTCACCCTGGTATATTTAAAGTCCGTCCAAATGCGAGATAATCAATTTTGCGAGGCTCAAGCGCAAAGTCCGAGCTCGATGTTGCGACCGTCTCACCCCTTTCGTGCGTGCGAAAAATCCCGCGATAACCCCCGATAACATCACCCCTTTCGTCGGCCCGAAAATCGCAAAAAATCCTGGAAATTGGAGAACACCTCGTAGAGGTTTACGCGACCTTGGCTTTTCGGTTCGTCCCTCCCTGGTCGACCTGGGAAAGTTCCTGCCCTGCGGGAGAGGGAAGGGTTGTAAACGTCTTCTGGCGTGCAACAGGTTAACGAGCTACCCCGCTTAGAGATGCGATATAGAAAGGTTCGCGGGGGTTCCCAAGGGTACCCGAAAGTGCCACCGATCGGCAACTTGGTTCCACGTGGAGGTCCTAGGGACGGTCCTCGTTGATCCTTTCGCGGGTCTGGCCGACATCTCGACGGTAAACCCAAACGGAAACCTCCGCGTCCGGCCTCGCCGGAAACCCCCGATCGATCGGGCCGGAAGGAGCGCTCATCGCGAAGGTTAACATTTCGAAGGAAGCACCCGAGTCACGCCAATTCGAGCACGTCGATTCGGAATACGTCGATACGCCTCTATACATGCGCCAGGCTCCCAGACGTTATCGCGCCTCGCCGGTATCGATTCCGCGACCAGAACCACCAGGACGGTGGCAGGCACCACAAGATCTCCTCGAGGGACGTCGCCGACGTCACCGAGGGGCCTGCACCTCTGCATGGTGCACCTGGGTAACGCGTTTACGCGGTTTGACCTCGTAGTAGTCATGGGGGGGGGGGGGAGAATCGGGGGTTACGCGAGTCTAGTCTTCATCGTCATGGGGATATTTGAGAGTTTGGGGAATATGCGGTTTGAGCCTTTCCATGGTCCTAGGAATTTTTAGGAACTTTTTGATACGCGGTTCAAGCCTTTCCATGGTCATAGGGATGCTTAAGAATTTAGAGCTTCCTGAAGAGTGTTGGGAGGAGAGCTCAGATATTTGTACACCCAGAAGGTGTCTATTCCCATCGTGCACCTTCCCAGATTTTTAGGAACGACCACCAACCGCGAACTCGCGTCCCCGGCTTTTAGGGTCTGCACCTTATACCGTGGTACAGGAATCCAGGATCTTTTATACCGTGTAACAGGATTTGGCGATAATGTGCCGCAGGTGTCGCACACGCAGCGCGCAATGTCGCTGTCCCCTAGCTCGCAGTCGAGGCCGCCATCGAGAGGGCCCCCGGTCGGAGGTCAGCGACCACCAACACCGATCGCGCACCCTGGAGGTCCGCGACCGGAAGGACGAGGCCCGTTCCTGGGACCCCCCGGTCCCGCGGGACCTCCAGGACCTCCAGGATCTCCGGGAGCAACTAGTCCTGGCCGTATGGTGCGACCTAAAACCCCCCAACTTTCGGGGAACGAGCCACCTCGAAGAACTACGCCGCCACCCTCGCCGGCGCCACCGACCGCACCCTCACCGACGCAGGCACAGCACCCCGGGATGCGGATTCCGCAAGCGTCTTCCGAGAGACAGACTTCCAATCCGACTTCCCCGTCGCCAGTCTCAGCGGACCCTGCGACTCCCAAAAATAAGAGCCTTGAAGATGGTGCTAGTCCCCGGATTGACCAACATTTGGAGAAGGGCCCAACAGGTGACCGGGACGAGGTCGCCAGGTCGCCGGTCGGTGAACCTTCTAAAAGTGCGACCTCCAAGTCTGAAAGGGCCTCTACTGGTCGCAGCAAGGGAGAGGCGCAATTGGAGAACGGCGAAGACGAGGATGACGATAACGACGTCGTGTTTGACGATGATAAGGAGATCGTTCAACAGCGTCCTCCGTCCTCGAATGCTAAGATGGACACGCAGGGTGTGCAAGGTCAGTCTCGACCACCTTCTTCGGTGTCTAACCATCGAAGGTCGGACTCCTCCGACGTCCAGGTGGCAGTTCCATCGAGGTCGAAAGTAGAGACCCCCCAGGATCACGTCAACGAAAACGGAGGTGGAGAGGTAAAGAATCCTAGAACCACGCCGGATGGTCCTTCTCGTAGTCAGTCTGGACGGGAGACTCCTCGCACGCCGGATGACCGGAAGTCCGGGAAACCGGAAGCCAGCTTGCCGGCGACTCCGGAAACTCGGCCACCTTCGGCTCAGCGAGCCTCCCCAGGGCCCAAAATGGCCACCCCTGAAGTTCTGACAGTTTCCCCTCATCCACCTTCGCCTTCGGCTGCCAAAGTGACCACTCCTGAAGTTCCTGTCACACCGCATCCGGTTTCACCATCGGGCACGAAAATGGCGTCCCCTGAACCTCCACCTGCGGCGGCTCTTCCGGTTTCACCCTCTGGTACCAAAATGGCGAAGCCCGAAGCATCACCGACAGCTTCGAAGCGACCTTCTCCGTCGGTTTCCAGAATAGCCACCCCTGAAGGTCCGTCAGCAGTTTCGCATCCCGTTTCTCCGCCTGGTACCAATATGGCGTCAACGGTATCGCATCCAGTTTCACCGTCTGGTACCAATATGGCGTCCCCTGAACCTCCACCTGGCGCTTCTCATCCGGCTTCGCCTTCTGGTACCAAAATGGCGAAGCCAGAACCATCGCCGACAGCTTCGAAGCGACCTTCTCCATCGGTCAGTAGAATGGCCACTCCTGAAGGCCCGACGGCAGTTTCGCATCCGGTTTCACCGTCAGGTTCCAATTTGGCGACCCCTGAACCTCCACCAGCAGTTTCGCACCCGCCTTCGCCCTCCGGTACAAAAATGGCGAAACTCGAAGCTTCACCGGCCCCATCAAAGGGAAATTCCCCATCCGGTATCAGACTGGCGACCCCTGAAACTCCTCCAACAGCATCCCATCCGACTTCTCCATCTGGTACCAAAATGGCGACCCCCGAAATTCCTCCGACTTCTCGTCCGCCTTCCGGGGCCAAAATGGCCGCCACTGAACTCAGCAAGCCGTTGCCTCCCGAGCCGTCCCAAGACAAAGAGTCCATCCAAGGCTTCGACAATGGGCAGAGGAGGTCCCTGACATCTTCGCCGTCCCCTTCGTCGTCCAAACCGACGCCAAGAACGACGCCGACGCCCCCGCCATCTCGAGGAGACCCTGGACCTGTAATCACTTCCGACGAGAAGAAATCTCCGGAACCCAAGGCTGTGACAAACATGGCAGCCGTAACAACGACGGCGGTTAAAAAACCCGAAGAAAAACCTGAACCCGTTAATAACGACTCCGAATCTGTACAGATACCTCCCAAAATGGAGGAACAAGAAATGACATCTCCCCAGGCTGACGCCACCGAAACAGGTCCATAACAGCATCCGAACTCCAGATTTAAGCACTTAATTTCTCGCCGGAAATCGGTCCCTAATTTTTTTCGAAGTTACGATACGATTAGAAGATACTCGACTTCTAATTAGATTCTTTCTAGTTTTGTGCACTTTTCTGTAATTTCGGGGGAGTTTAAGTCGAATGATCGATTTTTTTATGGTATTGTTTGACTGCAGTCGTTGCACCTGTTTTGTTGAAGCTATCGATTTGTCGAGGGATCGTATTCACTTTTCCTGTTTCGCTTTTTTCAGAGACGGAGAACGGCGTGGACTCGACGAAGGGCACTAGGGTGAGTAGGACGGCGAACTTGAAGAAATCTATGCACCTTATCGGCGATACCTTCGGTCGGCAGGGATCGACGACGAACGGCGTCGCCGGGTCGCCGACGAAAAAGCCGGCAGGGATTCCGGGAGACTCGGAGAAGAGGCCGGCTACGAACTTGGGGTCGCCCACGAAGTCGCCCACCAAGTCGCCCAGCAAGTCCAAGTCGCTGCCGAGGACGCCGGACGCCGCGACGAGCCCGGCGACCCCGACGACTCCTGCGACCGCTTCCGAGAAGAAAAGTAAGCCACGGGGGCGAGTACCTCGAAGATTGCTAATTTGAAAAATCTAAAGTGCACGCCACACGCTTTCAGTGTCTACACTGAGATAAAAATAGAATAAATAGAAAGAAATGTGACGGCTGTATTCTTTCGCTTTCTTTGTGAATTTTTTTCTGACGAGCCATGAAAATACCCCACCTTGGAAATTTTACAATATATTTATTAACGTTTATACAGTCACCCAAAAAAAATTATAGACCATGGCTAATTTAAAAAAATGCACTTTTGAAATACACACCGCTCGAACGCCGAAATGAACTCAGTCATAATTTCAAAGAAATGTCGCAGTCAGATTATTATTCTTTGAATGAACAAAATATTTCTTTGGTACCGTTCAAAGAAATATTTCTTTGGTGAAATGGCACTTTCTTCTGAATTGAGTCCTTGGTCCTTGATATAAAATTTAAAAATTACTAAAAATACGCCTGATTGGCATTATGTGTTTTCATTCACCATCTTTGGTCTTCAAGATCAAGGTGGAATCGCATCCTGGACTTATCAGGGAATTTCCTTTTTTTTTCGCGCCTCCTTTAATTTTCAGAAGTCCCGATGAACAAGGTTCAGGTGGGTGCGGCGCCCTCGCCTAACCTGAAGACCGTCAGGTCCAAGATCGGCTCCCTGGACAACGCGAGCTACAAGCCTGGAGGTGGAAAAGTCAAGATAGAGAACAGGAAGCTCGACTTCAGCAAGGCGCAGCCAAAGATCGCGGCGAAGAACGAGAAGTACACCCCGAGTGGTGGAGACAAGAAGGTCGGTACCCTGTCCCGAATCCCCCGAGATCTAAAATCCTCATCTTCGTGTCATCATCAGCAGATTACCCAAGTGAAGCTGCAGTGGAACGCCAAGCCCAAGGTCGGCTCCCTGGACAACGCGACCTACAAGCCGGGAGGTGGGGATAAAAAAATCGAGACGGTCAAGCTAGACTTCAAAGACAAGGCCAAGCCAAAGGTGGGCTCCAAAGAGAATGCGAAGCACGTTCCAGGTGGTGGCAGCATCAAGGTGAGAACTCTAAGAGGACTCCCTCAATCCTTGCCTTGAGTCTCATTATCGTCCAGCATGCCACTTAATCATTGTCATTGATAAATATCGTTTGATAAAGTGTCGATTCTCAGCCATGGGAGTCCCAGCATGCGGAATGTCGGCAAAGTTGTCATCCGGTGTCGTGCCTTAACATTAGTGCTAGGGTAGAGATAACCGTATCACGAATCAGCATCCAGATCATCGGTGATCCCCAAACCGTGGAGGACCAACCTGGAGGGCCCAAAATGGCGTCCCACGGCGGCTCGAAAATGGCGGACTAACCTCTCGCTCGCATGGAATGTCACCTTTAACTCTTTGTTATCGTTTCTCTGTGTTTAGTCGGCATCGTCACCGCCCAAGACGCCCCAGGAGTCGACCGCCGACGTAAGTGCCGTGAGTATCGTAGTCCTCGCCTCCTATCGTCGCATCTATCTATCTCTGTCCCCTATCGAGGAGCGTCATGGAGAAAAATTTTCCCAATAATCTAGAAATCTAAATCTTTCTCCTTGGAGTCGGCTCTGCCCCGGGCGCTGATCTCACGATCCTCGTATATTCTCGCCAGATCGAGACGCAGAAGATCGACATCAAGGCGGAGAGCAAGATCGGCTCCCTGGACAACGTGAAGCACAAGCCAGGAGGCGGCGATAAGAAGATCTTCAATGACAGGGACTATCTCCGTCAGACAGGCTCCAACGTGGAGAGTCTGAGTGGCAGCGGCTCCCAGGTGAGCCTTTTAATAATTCTCACCTTGCTCGTCTTCGGCTTTCGCTTCCAGCACTCGCCCTGCACGGGTCGCCGACAGAGATGGGCACTGATCGATGACGCTTTCCATTTGATTGGTGATAAACGATCGGTAGTTAAACAGCAAATCTCAAGAACAGCCTACCTAGCGGTCCTAAGTTAAACCGGAGTTAAACCTGAGTTAAACCCGAGTTAAATTAAAATTGATGGAGTACCGGTACTCCTCATTGTCTTGGTACCAGGTACCCAGGTGACGTTACATTCGAGACCAACCGAGATTCCGCTATCACCTGGCGTCGCGTGGTATTCCCAGGTGATCTTTGGGTTCTTTAAAAATTGTTCATCTTCGTGGCCAACTCTGTCGAGCCTCCACCCCCGAGGTCGGAGCTTGTGGTGACGCTTTGTGTGTCGCAGAGCCCGGTGCCGCCCGGCATGACGAGCGTCGGCAAGAACGGCCTGCCCACCTCGGACGAGAACCTCAACCAGGAGTGCTAAGTCGACGAACCGCACCTCGGAATCACGCCGCGTTTGCGTTTGCGTTTGCGCTCGCGCTCCCCGGAGCGGTAGCACCCTAAGAACCCGGAGCGCCCGGCATCCTGCGCCGCCATCGCCACCACCGAAACCGACGCCACCGACGCCTGCTCGAGGGAGAATCGGTACCAAGACGAGACATCGCGACACCAGCCTCTCCACCGAGTACTAATTCGCGCGCGTTAACGACCCACCTGCAGCTTATCCGCGCTAATCGCACACGGTAGCCGACCAGAGAGTGACCGCCCTCGTCGACGTCATCGTTAGGCTGATAGTGGACGCTTAGAATTCCCGGCTAACGGCCGTTAGTCGATCGGCGCGGCGAAGGGTACCGGAGTACCGAGTCATCTCTGGACCGATGTGGAAGATGGAGAGTGATCCTCTTCTGGTACCAGGGGATTGGAAAGTGGAGAACGCTCGCGATGGTCGATTATTTCTGGTACCATGGGATTGGAAGGTGGAGAACGCCCACGATGATTTTTCTCTTCTGGTACCATGGGATTGGAAGGTGGAGAACGCTCGCGATGGTTGTTCTCTTCTTCCGGTACGAGTCGGACGAGTTCCCAGAGAGCGGCCCATCGAGACGGATGGAAGGGCCGGGAGCGGAGAGCAGAGTGCGAGCGCCAAGAACGATCCTCTAGCCACGTCGCACGTCATAGAGATCAGACTCTACGTTACACCTACTTCGCTGGAGATGTATCGCCGCGTCGCCCACCACGGCGTTGAAGACTAATCATTAACGACTTGTTCCCCCCTCTCTCTCTCCAGTTACCACTTCGTACGGATGCAATTGTGTAACGACCGCCCGATGTATCGCTCGATTAGAGAAGTCACTACAATAATATTTTTCTTTTTAAGTTCCCGCTCGTCGAGTTTCTTGCACCCGACCGAGTCCCGCCCGTCCCCGTCCGGTGTCACCTGCGTACCTGCGGTAATAAATAGGAGCACCCTCACCTGAGAAGCACTCGAGGCAGACTCCGTGACGCGAGGATACCTCCGCTTCTTTTTCGCCACGCAAACCCCCGAGGTCGGGAGGTCATCACGCGCGCATTCTTCTATCTTTCTCACCGTGCACTCGCACGTATGTCTACGCACTGTACGTATTTAGGTAGTGCGCGTCCAGGACATGTCCAAGGCCGAAGAGCGAAGATTCGAGGATGCGACCGCTTGTCCGCCATCTTGGTATCCGAGCCTCCGAGCCAGGTAGAACATCAGCGGAAGATTAGCAGTACCTGAAATCGGAGAAGGGATTTTTATTCCTTCTTCCGTTTCACATCCCCTTTCCTGGTACCTGAAGAAGTTCGATTTCCACCTGACCCGAATCTCCTCCCCAGGCGGAGATCTCCAGCCCGGAGGAACCTCAAGGTCGGCAGCCTCCCGAAGAGCCGGAGCATAAATCCAGAACCAGGCCTCATCCTCGCCCTCCACCTACCACCCCCACCAGGAACCAACCTCGACCTCGACGAGTGGCAACCCCGTCGAGTCTCGACACCTCGAAGACCGCCCCCGAGGCTGCAAAATCTCCAGAGCCGGTTCCAGCAGCACCAGTGGTACCAACGACGCCTTCTCCGAAGAACGAACGACAGGGCTCCAGTTCTGCGAGGAAGGAAGACGTTCCGAAGACCAAGAAGAAGACCCCGGTGACGACGCCATCGAAATCGCCCCCGAAGACGCCAGACATGGAGAGACGACCGACGCCCTCTGAAGCGATAACCGAGGCGCCATCCTCGAAGGAACTTCGACTCCCGGAATTGTCACCCCCAGCCCCGTCTAAAACCTCGGTTAAGTCTCCTAGGTCGCCCTCAAAAACACCCCCGAAGACGGCCCTGAAAACAGATTCCACATCCGAGGACCGACAGGAGCCCAGAATCGTCCTACCGAAATTGGTGGAGACTTCAACGCTCGCAACGCGAGCTGCCGGCCTAGGAAGCGCCGCGGTTCCGCCATAAACCGTAAAAATTCCAAAACTCGGACATTTTGGGGATGAATTCACTAGAACTACTAGAAATAAAGGTCTTGGGGCTTTTCAACCTTAGACGTTATCGACATCCCGGCCTCTCAACTCCTTTATTTTTTACATAATTTAGAGCAATCTGAATTGAACATGGCGGATCGCCGCGCCATCTCGCGTCATTTTCCGTTCACTATCAGAAACCGATTACGATCCGAATGCCTGACAATTCTCGAAAGTCTTTAAAATGTTTAAAGAAAAAAGGAACGGGGAGTCCGTGATGTCGATAACCTCGCGAGGTAAAGCGCCGCCATAGGGCTCGATTAATCAATGCCGTAATAATCCGTCCGGTGAGAGATAGGCGCGTTTTATGGTGCGTTGAGTGAGTTTATATCGATCGACGGAAAGGGATGAAAAACTCGTTCGCGGAACGCTTTTAGTGTCAGTCACGTTGCTTAACGTCGTCCGACATTGCGCGAGCCTCAACTGGGTTTATATCGATCTCCTCGTCCTGGCTCGATGGGATTACCCGCGAAAGGAGCTCTTCCTGGTCAGTTGAAATTATCAATGCTTAGTTGGGTCCGCGATAATCTGCACGAATGGTCGAAATACCGGGAAGAAGATGTAATGTAATCCGCGACTCGATTAACGGGTAATTGAACGTGGATGTAAATCTTCGTTGGAATCGCAAGTCGCGCTCTGTCGTATTTACTTAACGTCGAGTTACGTGAAAAATGGAGGTGCCTACGAAAAGCGGAAAGCAATTACGTCTAAACCTTGAAGGGGCCTCCCTACCCTGATTCAAGAGTCCATTGACCCACCGGGACTCTGACTCGACTCGAGTACTCAGTTCGGTCTCTTCCGTCGAACCGATAACACCGATAGTGAGTGCGCTGCTCGCCGGTTACTCGAATTTCGTATATCTATTTATTCTCCATATCATCCCTTTCCGCATTTCGACCAGTCGAAGGTGAAAGAGGTCCGTCCGAGTTCGGTCTGCATGGTCGACCGATCGAAACCAGGAGTTCGGTGCTATTCTGGGGCATTTGCGTGCAATCACGTGTCGTTTCCGAGATTTCCTCGGAAAAGGGGGCGCGGGGGAGGGCGCGATGCCGGAGGTGCATCGGTGCCAGGAACCCGCGGACGCCCTCGGAAGTGCAACCAGGTGCACGTGCCTTCGATTTCCCGATCGAAAGACCCCCGGACCGGACTGCGCAGTCTGGTTCGCGAAGCTGAAGCGAGAGATCATGAAGAGTCTCCGCAACAAGGTGCACCCGAGAGGCCCCAGGTAAGTCGGGATCGAAAGCCCCGGAAATTCCTATTTCGAGCCTCGAGAAAATCCCACCAAAAATGGGAGAAATAACGATTCGCTCGGAATGGAGGGACTCGACTCTTGGATCAATGGGAATAATTCCGTAATAATTGTGTACACCTTGGAATGTGGTATCGCCGGGGGTGGCGATGATTGTACTAGCGGTGCGTAGCGTTAAATGGAATTTCGCGACATTCGTCGACGTTTTGCCAGGTGACTCAAGTGTAGCTCCTCGTCGACGAGGCGACGGCTTGATCGAACAGTTTTGCGGCCCTTGGAAACGCTCGTGGAAAATAAAACCCCAGGGGTCGGGTCGTCACGGAAACGCGCACGCGTGACTCAACCGCTCGTTGTCTTTACGGTAGACCGGACGAGCGTACTCGCGCGAGTGTACTCACGTGAGCGTACCTGCAACCGGACACTCGCGTGTACACTGGCGGACATGATTACCTTTCCTGTGGGTGTACGATGTCCAGGGTGGAGGAGATACGGAGGGAAACCATCGTGGCCGACAGTGTACGTTACATCGGTACGTGCCTGCCCACCTCGCCGCATCAGACCCGAACGCATCCTCTCGTGCTTATTGTCGGGTCCCTCTTTCCTTCCTTCCTTTCTCCTTCTACTCGAAGAGGGCAAGGACCTGCAACTTGATAACGTAAACATTAAGGAAGATAATTAATCCAGCCGGAGGGTTTTATCACTAATTTCCCCGGGGACGAGGAAGAAGTGCGCTAGATAGACTGTTAGATACGCAAGACGGTGGAAAGTTCTTCAGGGAGATTTTCCAGAAAATTTTTCATCTCTTCCTTTCTTCCTCTCCTAGGAGAGGAAATAAGTGAGGATAACGTTAAATCCTTGAGGTTAGTGGCACCGTGAATTTCTTTCGCCGAAATTTGTAGGGAATTTTCGCGGCGTTAAGGAACTGGGAGAAAATTGGGAAATCGTGGAATTGAGGTTTTACGAGGGTGGTAATTACTTTCCAAGGCGGTAATTCCCATGTGTGAGGGGTAGTGCGAGTTGTTTCCTTATACGGTGCTATTTAGCGTTCCTTTTATGTGTCGTTACCGACTTCGAGTGCTTCCCTTTCGTTCTCCTTTGTCCTCTTCTTCCTTCGAGTTCGTCGGTTCAGAGACACCGTGTCGTGCTTTTTTCGAGGATAAATCGTTGATATAATGTATTTAGAGTGGCGTAAAATGAAAAGAACATGTAATTTAGGTTTCGGTAGACCTTAATTTCGACAGACCCTGTCAGGTTCGAGGTCGATTAGGGCAATTTTCAAGGTTCGTCCGGACGGTCTGAGCCAATCACCGAATAATCGCCTAATTGTAGCGGCTTAGAGAACCGTCCATTTTCGACCATATTTGCGAGCGTGCTATAAAAAAGCAAAAGCCGCTAAAATGTTGCATTCGTGCAATCGTTTAATTAATGTTGCACCAGAGGAATACAGTCCGCATTTTTCTTTCTCGTGTGAAAGCAAATCAGTTAGGCTCGTGCACGTGACCAGAATTTAATATTTCATTATTTGGTGGAATATTTACCTGGAGCGGATTATTAGATTTATTAAGGAAAAATAGAAATTATACGATATGCGTAATTTCAGGAACGTCGTTAGCACTTATGCCAACAACTTGGTTAAGACAGACTTTATGAAATACATTTTAGCAATCATAAATTATTTTAAGTCACCGGGAGTTGCCTGATTTTACCTAAAACCTTATCCCTCGAAAATGAACAAGAAGAAGGCATTGAAAAGAGACAACGAGGTAAGAAAAGAAAAGGGAAAAAAAAAGAACTCAAGGCAATCTTAACATTCGACGAACTCGACCGAATTTCGAGGAGATACGCGAAGCGTACAATGCGTTTCACCTTTATGCAAATCGGCAGATGGTGGAGATACCACAACTTGAGAAAGACGAGTAAGAAAAATCTAATAAAGAGAATAAAATCCGAATTAATCGCATTCGAGCTTTGATACGGTAAGTGCGGAAGAATTGATTATAAATCCTACAATAAAATCAATGAAATCCAAAAAAAAATGGTTTCCCCTGTAAAGAGTCCCTAGAGTGGCTTCCGAAGAGAATCGAGTGAAATTTGAAAAAGGTTGAGATAGGTCACAGGTTTCATACATAATCGATATATTAGAGTAATAACTAAAAGTGCAAGATGTACACTTTCGGAAGGGTCCAGATCCGTCCCAGAGATAAACATTGGGATTAATAGGGAATGACGTAGCGCGTTCCCTAAAGAGATGAAAATAAAGTCTCGAAAATTCCCAAATACGTCACCGATGAGTAAAGTCGGTTCAGTAGTTTCCTCTCCATTCACCTGTGCTTCAGAAGTGCGAAAGTGCCGCCCTCTGGCGAAGAAGACATTACCCATGAAGGAGGAGAGCGAGAGAGACCGGCCTTGCCGCGCCTACAGAACCGCCGACAAGAACAGTCAACGACGACCAACAACGGCGTGGCGAGTCTGACATCTCGTTCCTCATCTCGTTTCTGATTTCGTTCCCCACCTCGTTCCACGGCCCATCTAAATTCGAACCGTGGAACTAATCGGTTCGCGGCTGATAAAGGAAACCACGTGTTGTCACCGCGCGCGCAGGCGCAGGTGAGCTGATCGAGGAGGTGCCAGGTGTGGCCCCAGCGAGATGGACGAGGAGGAGATGTGGAAGGGCTTCTACCAGAGAATAGTAGAAGAGAAGCAGCAGAAAGAAAAGGAAGGTCAGGAGAAATCGGAGCACGAGATAAGGTAATGGAGGTGGGATTTTTTTTGCGATTTTTTTTCTGACTTTTTTCCCGAGGTAGAGCGACGAGAGGTGGGAGGAGGGGAGGAGGGGCCTCCTTACGTCTTGATCGCGTACCGCGGTGTACCGAGCACCGGCTATTTATAAGTCACGCTTCAAGTGCCGGCCGACGAGTAATTCCGCGCGTGACGGGCCGCGGCGTCATCGCATTTGCATCTCGCAGGCTGAAAAGGAGCGCGGAACTTTGACGTGACTTCGCCCGAGGTGGATATTTCAGGTGTCTACAGGTGCGCGGCGATCCGATGAGTCTCTGAGATCAGCTGACTCGTTGGAGGGCTGGGATGGCGGCGCAATGACTCGGTGCAGGCTCTTCGAGTATTCGACAGGCAAAGGGGAATGAATTACCTCGACGAGAATATAAGATAAGGGGCTGATGACTCTTGATGTAAACGAGGAACGCCGGGAATACATTTCCACGTGTCGTCTCGCGCCGTTTGTTTCCGATATGATAACGGCCCGCTATGCCTGGAGCGAATTACGAGCCGATGATTGTAGAAAATCCAGTAGAACGGTAGAACGTTCGATGTGCGAGAGAAAACGGGAATTGGTATTGGCTATTTAATGTACGTACGTATCGAGCTACCGGCACATGTGCGCCGGTAACCACGTGGGGACCACGTGGTCATGACGTAACGCCGCCCGGCGGATTCTGTGTTAACCTGAAATTTGACGAAACCAGTGAAACGAAGCTCGGATTCTACTTGACTTGATTGATAAGACGCGAGAAAACTTGACGTTTATTTCTAATGTCTTAATCGATCGATAAGGATTCCACGTTGGAATCCTTATCGATGTCCAATTGGTGGATACTGTTTTTAGGACCAGAAGCTGTCAAATTGGACCCATAAGGGGATCCTTTCTGAAACATCCATCGTGATGTTATCCTTAGTGTCTATCTCGGGCAATGTAATCCTTTGTACCTCTTTAGGTCCTTGAAAAATATTAATTGAGTCCCGTTGACGGATTCCCCTCGGCTGATCGACTTTCAAGAAACAGGACCCGGAAAATCGATCCTGGGGTTTCCGGAGAGTGACGTCAAGTCGAGTTCGCGTTTTGTTTTCACCTCCAGAAATCCCATCCGCGGTTTCTCGAGTCACGCGAGCAGCGCTGCGATCGTCGAGTCGACCTCGGGACGAAAAAGGAGAGGCGATCGGTCGGCTCGCGCAGGCGCCATCCTTGTCGCAGTGTGATATCCTTCCTCGTGACGAGAAAGGAGAGCCGGGAGAAAACACGGGCGAAGTCGGCAAATAAGTGTCAACGAAGCCACATGATGGATCCCTGGTCTCGACGCGGGCTGGGAAGAGATGCGAGAATCGATCCTGGCGACAGGTGTCGTCCAGGACTCGACAGGAAGCATCCTTACCTGCTGATCGCCGCCGCCAGGATGGCGCAAAAGCCGGAAGACAGAGAAGTGACCGTGGCGAGTGGATATTGGAAGTTCGCCGCGCACAACTTCCTACGCAGCAGGTGAAGTCCATCGGAAGTTGCCGGTAAAGGAATAACTCGTCTCCGGGGATGATATCTGAAAATGAAGGACTCGATGAGAGGTCTTAATCCTGATTTACGGAATTATTTTATGAAACTTTTAACCACGCTCCAATTTGAAATTCGAGGAAGGCCATTAGATATCCGTCGCGCACAACTTCCTATGCAGTGGGCGAAGCGCACCGGAAGTTGCCGGGAAAAGGAAAAGCTCGCTCCGGGAATGTCTTAGAATGAACTCGACCGAATTACGGAATTATTTTACGAAATATTGAAGACTCTCGATTTTTTTCCCCGAGTTTTCAGCGCGACTGGTGAAATGCTTATCTCGCGATGATTAGTAATACATCTGGAGATATGACGTGCTCGCCAGTACTCGTCGGAATGTTAATTCAGATGCAATTATTTGTTTTGGTGACGGTGAGGTGAAACAGCTTCTGGAGCAATGGCGAAAATACAGGACATGGCAGTAGATTCGATCTCCCCTTGGAGACAGAAGTAGCTCTTAATACCGATCAATTATTATTCCCCGTTACTAATTAGCACGATGCATTCCTTACTTGGAACTGTTCGGGATAAAAAGCGTTCCGCTAGGGAGACACGGTATTAACGGAACTGTGCTAATAAAAATAATTGTCGAGTGGTGTAATCAAAAGGCAAGGACGGTCCAGCTGGATCCCGTGTTATTAACGCTTGGCACATGCGCCGAGGTGAAAAGTACTCTGGGAAAGTTGTCTCTCCGTTAGTCGAAGACAATACTGCGTTACAAAATGCATTATCAAAGCGCATGAGATAAAAAGTCGAGGGGGTCTCTTTGGTCCCCAATTCCGAGAGCTGCTTAATTGACCCCGAGAAGAGCCTCGGATAAAGCGAAGCGAATTAAATGAAGTTACCTCTAATCGAATCGAATGAAATTAGTTTAGCGAGTGAGGCCGGCTCTTGAGATCTCGCCTTTGAGACTAATGGATCCTTTGCTCCTTCAGGATCCAGGAGTCCGATGGAGGCTTCTTCGAGAAGCTGGGCACTCTGCTGGCCGAGCGAGTCCGCGTCCAGGAGGAGGCCGAAGGACCACTTCCTCGGAAAACCGACTCAAAGGAGGAGGAGAAGGTGGAGGATGAGCAGAGGTCCAGTGTAGGAAGCAGCGAGGATCCTGAGGACCCGACCGAAGCCATTTTGGAGACCGACAGCGACAGAGATGAGGCGGAACTCATCCTCGACACTCTGGCCGAGTCCGTAGGCTGGAACGTAAGTTTCCTCCCGCAAGAATTTATAAATCCTGATCCTTGGAGAAATTTGGAGTCCTAAATTCCCCTGCAGGAATGCCCGAGCCCTGATAAAAACTTAACACTCTTAACTAAAATTTCCAAGTCCTCTCCCTTGCAGTCGGAGTACAAATCCTCGCACGTGGTGCAAATCGAAAAAGCGATCAGCTGATCGTTAAGTGCCAGGAAGGAGAAAATACCTAGCGTGCCCTCGCTCGATCGCTCCCGATGAAGAGGTGGTCTGTTCAGGATCCATCGGCGGAAAATCGACGAGAAAATCGCGTGGGAGAGATCCGAGCGGAAATAGCTCCCGTTAAGTATTCCCACGAGGAAACGGAATGACGATCGAAGTCAAGCGTGACTTATCGCCTGAGTCTGGAATTGGACCTCTTATTTTTGCACCGTGCCCTTGCGATTTTTCCTCGTGGAGAAGCTCCTCCTGGGCCTCCCCGCGAAACCACCACTTTCCGGATCGGTCGGCCACTTAAACTCAATCCGAAAGTCGAATCGCCCGCGTGTGCGCTCTTCCGCTCGTACACGCGTGCTCTCGCGAAGCGCGAATGACGTTCGTCGGACCGTCTATTCCTGGCAGTATGGAGCTCGCCTCCGTCAAGACGCCGTCTCTACTCGTTCCCGTTTCGAGTCGTCGTTAAACAGTCTCGTAAGCGGATCGATCGCGACCGATCGGATTTTTGGAGACCCCCAGCGACCCTCCAGCGACCCGCGACGCAACCGTCACCCGGCTCGCGGCATCGCGCCTCAGTGGTCCCGGATTTCGGCGAGTTCCACTTTCCGCGAACCTCCTCGTAAGCGCCACAATTTCGTGAGGAAAAAAAAAATTCAAACAGAGGAAGGAAGCCTCCTTGGCGAGGAGTCCGTGACGCGGCCAATCGGACCGGGGATCTGGTTCACCCGAAATGTGGGTCGCCTCGTTCCGGCAACGCGCGACACTGATCTGCCTAGAATCTGGCAAAGCCCTGTATCGGTGCTCGCCAGTGGCCTCGGTTTGTCCGCGAGATCGAAATTCGACTTTTTAAGGGATTTTCGAGCCCAGGGAATTTTTTGCGCATAGTGAAACCGAGAGTCCAGTTCTTAGGATGGAGGTCGATACTCCACTTTTTAAGGGGTTTTCCAATCTAGGGAATTTGTCCAACATAGTGGAACCGAGAGTCCCGTCCCGAGGATGGTCGAGTCCGAGAGCACCGGGACAACCCCACCCGTAACGAAAGGCGACGGTCAATAAGCTAATTGTCGGCGTGTCGGCTTTCATTGAGCGCAATTGCGCGAAACGTACGCAATCGCACTTGCGCATCGTGGACTGTTTCAAACGGGATGCGACCCAGTTCGCGTCGCGACCGATCGATCGACCCCTCTATTGCCGGTCACGATAGAATTCCGATCAGCTGATCGGCTGCAGGCCATCTGCCGTTGACTCGACATGACGATTATAGTCGATGGAGTGCAGAGGACCTCGTCAGATAATGCATGGGACAGCTGGCACGCGCCAACGAACGTCCGGATTTCCGCGCTGATAACGAGACTGCTCCGCTATCGCCCTATCCCATGAGGAAAGGAGTCGCGACTTTCCTCGAAAAATGTTGTCCTCTCATCATTTCCGTAAATTCCCGGAGTTTGATTCGCTAATTCGCCGACAAGGTTTATCGGGGATCTCGTCCCGGGCTTCCCGCAATATGAGGACCCCTTATCGAAAACGCCCAGAGAAGAATCGACGCGACCCCTTTTTGACCGAATGTATTTTAAGACATCATGCGCGTCGATAGGCGCTATTTTCGCGCCGATAACTGCGGATTATTATTACATAATGGTTGCTTTGGCCGCTCGTGTAGACCACGGCTAGGACTAGGGCAAAGAGAGAGAAACTATCCTCCTAGACGCTACCGGCGCGTTAAAAGCTATGCCGACACGAGTTCCGAAAAATTTCTCTGAGATGGCAGTCGACCAACTATTTCGAGCAGGAGGTGGCGGGACGTTCGGACCCACCCGAGATACCCGAGGCGTATCGTTTTCGAGGAAAATCCTTGGGCTGTCGGGTCGCGGCCTCGTTAGCTCGTCGACTCGACTGGAGTCATCCTGTGGATTCGCTTAATTCATTTCCGTGATTTTACTTCATTCCGTCGGGTGCCTCGAGTTACTTGGTCCTCTTCGTGAACTAGTCTTCACGAGTCATGTATATCCTTTGAAAAGGACTCGTCAATTCCCCGCAAGACATTCAATCGTTGAATTTGATTCCTGCGATTTGACTCCATTCCATCAGGTGTTACCTACACCTCTTCATGGATTAATCTTCACCAGTCATGTATATCCTTTGAAAAGGACTCGTGGAGTCCCCGCAAAACATTCAATCGTTGAATTTGATCCCTGCGATTTGACTCCATTTCATCAAGTGCCTTGAGTTACTTAATCCTCTTCATGAATTAATTTTCACCAGTCTTGTATATATTTTGCAAAGGACTCGCCGCTCCGACTCGCAGATCTCATCTTCTCGTTGCGTTTTCGTCAGGTGGCCCATTTAGCGCGGGTTTTCCGCGATTTAACGAGCCTCTCGGTGGCCGATTAGCTACACGCCGCGTCCATGAATTATCGATAGGGAGGGTCGCGGCCATCGAGCAAGTTCATCGCTGTCAAAGCAACTCGAGCCGCGTCAGTCTGGCGCTTTGCCCGGCGCGGGCCGGCTTCGTCGAAAGCGCGGCCAAAGCGCAAACGGCGAAACGACGCGATTAAGACAGCAGTCAATGTTGCACCCGAGACCAGCCAAGAAATCGTTTCCATGCGCCGGCAATGGTGATCCCGACCGCGCGTTTCGTGTCGACAGAGAGCGAAGAAGCGAGATGGCCGCGAACGGGTATCTCCAGCCCGTTGAGTAACGCGACGAGGAAAGTGGCGAGGAAATTCCGAGATACTTGGGGAATCCGCCAGTAACCAAGATATAAAGCCATGGTGGTGCACGGGGCACTGGGTAGGGACACCTGGTACCCGAAGAGGAACGTCTTCAGGGGTGTCTCCAAAGCCGAGCTCGACAGGAGAACCGACGCCCTTCTTCGGGGCATGACGGTGAGTCGGAGCCGAGTTCTCCGAATCTACTCGAGTTCAACCTCTGGTGGACCTAGAAATAGATGCAAAGATTCATCAGGGATGAACGTGACATCGATAAACACGATTGGGTTTGATAACTAAAACTCTACCTCGGAGAGTGTGGGGACGATTAGCTCTCTAGGACCTCTCCTTCCTGGTATTTTAATTTTCTGATTAATCCGGGTGCCATGCCAAGTGCCGGGGAATTTAGTCCTCGTTAAAGAGAGTACCTGGAACGGTATAGTGATATGTTTGTGTGATATGGCGATTGACTTAGCGCATTCAATGGACCCTTTGCCTGCAGATCGAGAAGCTGTACTCCTCTCTCGTCTACCTGACGCAGCATCAGATCGGATATGACGTCTCCAACGAGTGCGGCGAGGAGGCACTTCTAGATTATTTGCAGCGAGCTTTCAAGATCGACGACGAAACGCAAGCTCAAGCCCTGGAGGAAGCCCGCGCCATGGAGGTGAGTCGGAATTTAACTCAGGATTAACCCTTTCGGCATGACCCTTGCATCTTCTACATCTACATGCATTCTGAAACTGCATCCAGTGACGTCGTCGTTATCAACGCATATGGTACACGTGGAAGCGGACTTTTTGCCCCACTGAGATCACTTACTGTTTGATATCTCGGTCATGAAAGGGAAAAAGTGTTCGCAGAATCTCTTTACTCTCAAATCGCAGATTGCGTCCGTCGGGGCAAAGTGCAGCTCTGATTATCCAGGTCGTAAAGCGAGGACTCTAAACAATGGCCAACACTTTCCTTCGCGATTTTCTCCCGGCTTTCGAGCAACGTTTGAACTGTATTCCCTCTCTGTGCAACATTGTTGCTGTACTAGGCAACGTTTCGTTCCTCTCCAGGGATACAGACTCGCGATTGTTCCAGGGTCGCCTTCACCTATTTTCCCGGATTTCCTCGAAGCTCTTTCTCGCCTTTCGACTCGCTCCTCGCGGACTCTTTCGTTAGCACCCGACTTTTGCATATCCGTCACCGAGCGGTCATTGTTTCATTAACGAATGGGCATATTAGGCAAAAAAGTTCCCACGTTCCATTGTCTACGATGCGCGATTGCATGCGTCGTCCTGAACGTCGACGAAGAGCGGAAACCTACGCCTAGATAGTTACTAAACCTTCCTCAACGAGTCGCTTTAGCTCGCAAATTAGTTCCAATCTAACCGATCGGACTAACGACGACTAAAGGTTAAGTCGGAGCTGATCTCCAATATTTTTAATCATGCGCTCGCCTTATCGCTGGACATTCGATACTCTCTAAACGCGTTTGACGGTCTCGATATGCAGGCACCGGAGTTGCACCTCGGCGTGGAGGTGATAGAAGCCAAAGAGCTCGTATCCAAAGACGCGAATGGTAAAAGCGATCCATTCTGCGCCCTCTACCTCGAGTCTTCACCAACTAGACGCTACAACACTGCCGTAAAAACGTCGACGCTCAGTCCAGTCTGGGAAGAGCACTTTGAACTGTGAGTATCGGAATTATTTTCCACCTTCTATATTTTACACATGGTAAAAATTATACGTCGAACTTCTGTTCAACTCTCAGGCCACTGGAAGACCCTGAGAACGACACTCTCACTCTCGAAGTCTGGTAAGCATGACAAGCAAAGTACTTGTAAACTGTACACGCGATTTATAAGTAATTGTTATAAATTATGCGTACTATTCAGGGACTTCGACGCCGCAGAGACGGTCCCAGAGAAGATCAACAAAGTGAAGGATGTAAAAGGTGTCCGCGGTTTGGTGAAGCTCGCGAAAGAGATAGCCGTGACAGCCACCACGGGAAGCCATGATAACGAGTTCATAGGTCGAGCCCGGATAGCCCTGAAGGTACTCTACTTCGGTTAATAGACGTTCCCAGTGATGCCGATGTTTCTACATTTTACGCTTCCTGGCAGGACATCCCAGTAGCAGGACACACGACGTGGTATCCCTTGGAGAAGAAGAACAAATCCAAGCGTCGAGGTGTCGTTCGCGTAAGGTTGGCCTTCAGCGCCGAGCACAATGCCCAGGTCGCCGTCCAGGAGCACAGACACTTGCTGAGGATATTGCTGCTGCACGAGCTGGAGTCAAGCAAGATCGAGAAATATTGCTGGAACGGTCGTTGGTCAGGTCCCGCCGAGGCGCTAATCCTTCGACACGTCGCCCAGCGTGGGATTCCGACGAGGAATGTCTCTTTAGCCAGGTGGATTGAATTCTCCAACGTGCACCAGGAGCATCCCTTGAGTTTCACGCTCTTCGAGGAGCTGGCCCTGGAGACGGTCAGGCCTCTGGAGAACGGGCTCTACTCCAAGGACGAGACCAGGCTCTACTGGGAGGCGTCGAAAAAGCTGCTCTACTCGTGCTTGAACTGTCTGCGGAAGATCAGGAGGCTGGCCCTTGGAGACAGGAACGTGACGAATCAGCTGGCTGCGATCCTGGGGTGCGTCCTTTCATCTGGGAATTAATTAGATGGATCAATCGGCTTCTCTTTGGGCATCTTGAAATTATTCAAACCATTATAGGATCCTGTCATCCGTGTCTTCGGTAAAAGTCCCAGAAGACGTCGACCTGTTCCCCTCGAAGATGTACACCTGGTTGCCGGAGGACCCTGAAGAGTCGAGGCTGGACGTTTTCCAGGCATTAGAGGCTACCGTCGTCCAAGGCGGAGTGGAATGGTACAACTTGCTTCGCCTCCTGATTCGCATTCCATGATTCTTGAAGACTTCCCGGAATGTACGTTAATTTTTTTTCCTACACGGTTTCGATAGGTACGACCATATCATCCACAACAACTTGCCAGAGGACGGCTCAGACGAGCAGGCGTTGAAGACCCAGATCAAAGTCATTCAGCTCATCAGGGCGGACCTGCAACGAGCGATGGAATTCTATGACAAGCTGTTCCTGAAGTGAGTTACCTGGTCGTCAGGGTATCCGAGAGGTCAGGCTTCCTCCTATATATACAAGTTGCGTCGAATTTCAGGAAGATCAATTTCCCTTACGCGAGGACCCTGTACCTGATGTATGAGAAAAGAATCAGCGACATGTGTGCCATCGTCGTTGAGGACGTTTGTGCCAGGGTGAAGCGCATCGAGATAGACAGTGAAGAAGATGCCGAACTTTCCTTGGGCACCACCCTGTTTGAACTCTACCTCACTCTCCAAAGATACGCGATGTAAGGAGACGTTCTTGATATCCGTAACATACCTAGGATGTCAACCTTTGTGACTAAATTGTGAGACCATTGATAACAGGCTGGGTCAACATATGTGGGCCGCTGGCCTCGACTCGACGAAGATCCACAACTACCACGAGTGGTTCAGAGCTGGAGTTGCTCATTGGCTCGACATAGCCGTTTACAAGGCACTCAAGCGAATCGACAGAGCCGTCGACTTCGACACTTTGCAGCCCGTTGACTCCAGTGTGAGGTACAGCTCGAGTGCCGTCGATACCCTGACGATCTTCTACCAGATTAAGGTCTTCTGGACCCAGCTGGCCTGGCCGGACGTGGAAGGGTCCTACACCTTCATCGCCAAGATCATTGACGTGAGTCTTTCACAATCTAGTACGACCAGGATTTAATATTCATTATTCTCTACGCGGAACCCTGATGACCTCGTGAAACGCATGAACGATTTCCAACAGGACATCTGCAAGTGCTCCATGGCGTATGCAGACAAGATGGCGATAAAGGCGGAAAAGACGACGACCTTGGAGCAGGAGGCGGAGAACAATGGTAGCGTGTACGAGAAAAAGTTCCAGGTGTCCAATGCTTGGTGCTACGCCATCAACAACATCGATTATATAAGGACGTCCATCGGACCCTTGGCAAACGACTTGGGCTTCCAGGACATCGTCGACACCCTCTGCGAGGACAAGACCCAGCAAGAAGCGGAGAGGTGTCAGCAGACTTTGCAGCTCATCATCGATTGCGCCACCGATACCGTCAAGAACAGGATTGTGGAACTGTTGGAGGAGGTGGCCAGCAAAATGGCACCGGCTATGAGGAGGTGAGGACTCGTACCTCGACCGGGTCCAGACTTTTCAGCGAATCGTTGACCTTGATTTTGTGGTGCTTGTTGAAAGGTACCTCATCGAGGGGGCCGAGTTGATAGACACGACGAGCAACGCGATGGACCGGTTGCTTCAGTACCTAGACTCGAATCTGTCCACCTTGCATGACAACCTCAACGAGGACAACTTTGAGCGCATCCTGATGGTCACTTGGGAGATCATGTCGGCGACGCTCTACCAGCTGGTCCATGACAATTTGGAGGTTGGTGAGATTTCTCGATCAAGGGGATGAATTCACGACTGGGTGCTCAGGAGCAACCTCGGCTTATGTGCAGAAAAGGAGGCCTCCATCATTTTACTCCAACCTGCACCGCACCCTGCACACGCTCATTCGGTTCTTCAACCTGGGAGCTGACGAGACGGCGAACGTCCAAGTGCTGGAGAAGATCGAGCGGCTGCTGAAACTTCATGGATTAGAGACTGCGGAACTGATCCATCGGTACAATAAGGAACGATTAGAGGAGCAGAAGAACCTGGAGGACTCCAGTTTTGGGCAACTCACTGTCAAGGCGAGGTTCCTGGACAACTCCCTCAACGTCCAGATCCTCAACGCCAGGAACCTCCGTGCGATGGACAGTAATGGTAAGTCTGGAAGTGCCTGGCGGGGGCCAAATCCTGGCAGTTGGGAAAATCGGTCTGGGAAAGTCGAAGATAAATCCAGGCAAAGTGTGGGGTACGATGAGCGATTCGTTCGGACGTTCCGCAATTTCCAAAGGGGTGTCTGTCGGTTTTTCGGGTGTTTTCTTTTTTGTTTTCCAGCGAGGGATCAATGTTCCAAATGGTCGGCCTGTGTTTTGACAAGCCGGGGCTGTGGACGTTCGGTCTTTTGGGCGTTCGGTGTGTTGATCCAGTCGGCAAGGGGATGAAAACTGAAAAATATAAAAGCTATGGAGCCACCGAGGCTGGCGGTAGAGATACGCGAACCACTGTGTGGATCTTCTGCTTTGGGAAACTGTATGTTTGTCTCTTTTTCGATTTTGTAGGCGCTTTTATAGGCAAGCTGTCGACTCTTGAGCGCAAACTGCACTCGAAGTCTAAACAAAGACTGACAAGAGAGGGGACGACAAGTACGTAGCAGATGCGCAAACCGTTACGTTGCACCTCATCGCTGCACCCATGTCGCGTTGTTATTGCCTGTTCAAAGTAAATTTAGCCTAGCGGGGCTGCATGGGCCCGGAAACTCGTAACCCAAAAGTCGCATCTCGCCTAGAGTAGTCCGATCAGCGAAAGGGTTAATTTCGCCATCGTGCATGCAGCGTTTCGCACTGGGTCTCCACAACTCCCATCGTGGTCCAAAGCGGAAGCTGAGTTTAAATTACGCCGCTATCGTTACAGGAAAATGCGATCCCTACGTGAAGGTGCGGATACTTCCTGAAGAGAAGTTCCCTCAGACCAAGGCCATCAAGACCCACGTGCAGAAGGAGACCCTCTTCCCCCTATTCGATGAAACGTTCAACATGTGAGTGTAACTTTATCCCACATAAATTTCTTAAAGAAATTTTCGAAAGCGTGACCTTTACCTTCCAGTCCTCTGACCACGGAGCAGAGAGAAACGGAGGACGCCATATTGTCGTTCGAGGTGAAGGACAAAGACTTCTTGAAAACCAGATTCATAGCGGAAGCGTTCATGTCATTCGAAGAGATCCCTGTTTCCAATCACGAAGAAGGCATCGAGTCCATTGAGCAGGTTCATCTTATCCTGTCTCGTCCAATGAATAGGAGTGAGTTATTTTGCGACTAGTCGTCCACTGTTCGAATATTTATTTCCATTAATTTCTCCATCAGGTTCGGATGCCATTCGAGCTCTGGAACACAGAAAAGGAGACAATCAGGCTGTGGACTTTGTATCGAAACTCAATAGCAAAGCCAATTCGAGATAATTGCGCTGCCGATAATATGTACCTCCATGAAGGTTTCCTTCGTCCATGATGTCGATCACTTACGATTATTTTTTTATACGTACCTACAAAATGAAATAGTGGGACGCGAGATGCGTCCACAGCTTTTAGAATAAACTATGTTAAGCCGATGGCAAAAGTCTTCCCCTTAAAGGAGTAAGGCTGCCCCATAAAAAATCCGCATTTTAATTACAGATAAAAATTTTGATGATATCGAACCATTATCCTCGATTTAAATTTTTAATCGCCTTTTTTAAACGATTGTACATGACGCTTACGCATTACCTTGACCAAAGGCAATACTCTCTTATCATACGCGTTTCGAAATTGAAGTAATTTCTTAACGTGAAGATTTTCTTACGTATACGCATTGTAAATACCTCTCGATTATACTATTTATACAAGTCCCGAGAATAAAATAAAACATTTTAAGAAAAAATTCTGTGAATTCTTATAGCACAACCTGTTTCAACGCTACTTGTAAGTCGATGCTGTTCATAGAACAGAATGAACCATTGCTACGCTGTCTAGGCGCTTGTATTAATGCATTTGGTCCAAACTACCGAGTTTTTTTTATTGCGAATAAAATAAATAAGGTAAGTGAAGGGCGATTGCTTACGGGCAGGATCGTTCGATCGCATCCTGTGCTGCCCTCTGGTTTATAAAGTCAAATGGAGCGTCACGAGTGTTCTTCCCTTACCATCAAAAGCGAGCAGTGTCGGTAAGCGTAGGTAAGCCACCACCGTCAACTGCCGCATGGTATTACCATCACGAGTACGTGAGCCGCCAACAGCGACTGGTAGATGGTACCGCCATCGCGAGTGCGCAAGCTCCTATCAGAAATTCGTTGCGCCGCCCTTGGGGGCAAAAAACGGTGAAAGCTAACGTACGAAACCAGAGGGCAGCACAGGATACGACCACACGTTCTTGCCCGTGAGCAATCTCCCAACTCATCTCTGGTAATTATAGTCACTGCAAATCGTACACCAGTAACCGACACGCCGGTAACGCCTTGACAGTTCTGCTGCTCGCTGCCAGATGGTGCTAGACTCTCCGCGCCAGCGTCGCCAATATCGCATGTGAAGACGACTTCGGAACCTTCGTGCGATCCGAAGCGTTTAGAGAACGGAACAGCGGAAGAATGGGATAACGGCAGCAGCAGGAAACGCCGACAAATAAATAGCACTATCCGCTTCAATAGGTACGTCGTCATTAAAATAACCCTTTTATTTTCACTCACGCCGTTCCGTGAACCTCGTTCCGTTCCGAAGTCCACATCCCATTCCTACATGGAACCCCACCATATACACCCACAAGCACTCTTATTTCGGCATCCAAGTACTTTTCCACAATTTTTCGTATATATCAACCTAAGTAAGGCTGGAGGGTGACGTTCGACACTTACTCGTTTCCCAAATTCGCGAAGCGTGGGCGTCTCTTCGTTTCGAGACACCTGGCCGAGGGAAGGAGGAGGTCCCTTCCACCCACAGCTCGCATGATTCGTATCGGTTTTACCGATCGCGCACGGTGACTCACAAAGGGACAATAAAAATCGGAACGTCGCTCGGGATGCGGCGATCGTAGTAACAATACGTAATTACTGGGACCGCCGATCGATAATATGGCATCGTGTAAATGACTGGCGATGACGCTTTTGTACTCTACGATTGAAAACGCACCGGCGCGGCGCAATATCGCGAACAACGGGCGTTCGCCTCTCCAATGTAGGTTCGATAGGATTTTAAATGAAAGCCCCCCCGTGAGTTTTCATGAAAATTGACGGGGGAGGGGGACAGGGGCGAAGGAAAAGTCCGGTCACCACGTGCGAGCCTCGAATTATAGGCCATTAATCGCCGCCGGTGCTTGCCTGGATAATTTCTCGGCGAATCTCCGTGTCCGTTTTTTTTCGTCCCATCTGCGCCCGTAAAACCGGCGCCATCTTGGATTTACCAGTCGCGGAGGAAGCGTCACTTCTCGCCGCTTTAAACTAACGAAAGGACCTACCGGTAATCACCGGCGTTTCCTGCTCGAATTTAATCCCACGGCGAGGAAGTTCCCGTCTCCGGGCGGAGAAGCTGCGTTGGTAGATGCGCTACGTGCGCGTTCGAAAGGACGCGCAGAAAGGCCCGGGGGAATCCAAGATGGCCGCCGGCCCGCTGGTGCGCGCGCACGCGCGCGGACCCTGAGCCCCGGATCGAGTGCGCAGGCACGATCGTAAGTCCGATTTAATGCCGATTTATAGCGCCGTCCTCGGGCCCAGGAGGCCCGTGTCTGCGAACGGACGCATCGAATGGCGTCGAATGGCGTCCCGCCGCGCACAACGCCGTAAGAGCGTCGACCGGCCTCCGGTCACGTCCCTCGCGAATCGCGCCGTCCGACCAACCTTTTACCCCCGAAAGAGCACGGCCCCTCGGCGCGTGACGGCGGTCAAAGTCACGGGATGAGAGCCATTTATGCCCCGTATGTCGCGAGACGTAATGCGGCCATCGAAACGAGGAAAGGGAACGTTCAAGGACGCCATTCGGGGCATCTTCCGGCGCGACGCGCGCGGCGTCAGCGCCGCCATGACAGTTTTGTGAGTCCGACCTCGCGCGGTATCCGGCTTAAAATGTCGACTTAATTCTTGGTAATATATAGGAATATATATATTATTAATATATATATATATATATACACTGACATGTAATATATCGACATCGTACACGTTTCAGCCGAGGAGTTCTGGAAAATGGGGCGCAGCTTATTTCGTGAGTGTTGCCCGGCGATAAAGAATAACGCCGCGCTTGATATACGACCGGCGGTAATGGCGCATTTTAGGGTGATTGCTCGAGGTCCTAATCGGCCCGAGATTTTTCCCGAGGCTTGCGTCAGGTATCCGGCCGTATCGAGTAGGGAGAAGAGCGCGGATTCCGGAGCGGCTTATCCTCCGGACGGGCCGCGTCCGCGCTCGGACCCATCTTAAGAGGATCCTTTCCTCGGACTCGGAATATCTGGTTACCGAAGGCGGAATTTCGGCTGCTCCAGAAACGATAATCCCCTCGGTATTTCCTCCAGAGTGGAGAGGATTATCTCCTCCCCCCGCGGAGGCTGCAGAGGACGACGTCGACGCGGTGGCCACGATTTGCTCGACGCTCTCTCAGACCGAACGATAAGAATCCACTCAGCTCTCCCTGAGAACTCCCGGAAGTCGGGGCCCGACTTCTCCTAACTAGTTTAGGGAGTTCCAACCGAGTTTTTAACGCCGAATATATTAAAAAGTTCACCGGCCGTTTCGAATCTAATAGGAAAGTCCTCGACAGATCCGCCGGTCACTGAATTCCGCGGCCCTCGTTCCGTTTTCCGCAACGCGGGCGCGTGGACAGGGGACCGCGTTCCCTGGGGCGGGGAAAGTTGGGAAAATCCTCTAATTTTTTCCAATCCTCTCCCCGCAGGATTTCGAATATTTTACGAGACGCGGTACGGGGTGGACGCGCATCGAGCGGCCTCGACGAGTCGGGTCCTTTTTTCCGACCTTTCCTGATTTCGGAGCGCCGGTTCCGCAGGAAGAACGACCCTGGAGAGGAAACCTCGGCGAAGGACGACTCCAGCATTTCCATGATAAAGGACTCGCGCAACTCCGCTTCATGATCCCCCGCGATGCGCGTTTCCGCCACCGCGACCGCCATTAAGCCTTCAGAACGCTCGCTCATTTCTCTCTCTCCCTTCCTCCCTCGACAAGGATCTCGGATTTTATTATCCCTCTAAGGTGCCCTCGGGATCTCGCGTCCTTTTGGACGCTTTAAATAACTCCTAGAATAATTACCCCGACCGTGAATAGCGTCGCCTAGGGCTCGGAGGGGAGGTTGCACATTTTTTATTAGGGATTTTCCAAAGAACGAGGCGAGCCCACCTTTCCCCGATTTCCCGAAACCGCGCGAAGAGGCGAATGGAGACGAGAGGGTTCCTTGAACCGAGAGAATCTCGACTCTGACTCCTGCATTTCCATGATAAAGGACCCGTGTACCTACGCAGTCAGATTCCTCTCCACGGTTGCCGTAACGTCTCAATTGTGTCTCTTATTCAAGAGTCTGATTTTTAGTGACCTCCCTTTCTCAGATCTGAAAATTAAAATACGGTACGGAACTGGATAATTCAATTGGAATGCCTTTGTCATCTTTCATTCGGCATTACCACTTAGTATCACCTGCGTATAACGAAAAACACGATCTTCGAATTTTCATCGCGTTATTAAAAATTGATGCCAAGCTACCGTATGTAGTCCTGTACTCGAGTTGGACTATATTATTCACTCGGGAAATCATGGATTTTAATGCTCGAAATTACCTGGACATTGTTGAAAGTCAGCATCGTCACAATTTAAAGCTCGAAATCGTTGCCGAATCACATTGTTGATCATATGAAATCAAAGGTATCGGTTCTCAAATTGATATCCATTCTCACATCGATGTCAATTTTTTATGGAAACTGGAATTCGCAGTCTTTTCGCTCTCAATGGGAGGTCTCGGAATTCCTTAGGGAGAGGTCCTGGATTCCCTTAACGGAGGGACTCGGGTATTTCCATGATAAAAGACTCATGTAGGACTGCGCTCCTCTCTAACTCGTTATCAAATCACATTGTTGATCATATGAAATCAAAGGTATCGGTTCTCAAATTGATATCCATTCTCATACCGATGTCAATTTTTGGTGGAAACGGGAATTTGCAGTCTTTCCGCCCTCAATGGGATGTCTCGGAATTCCTTAGGGAGAGTCGGTCTCCCTTGACGGAGGGACTCGGGTATTTCCATGATAAAGGACTCGTGTAGGACTGCGCTCCTCTCGATCCCCCGCGACGCGCGCCGCCGTAAGGCCTAGCCGCCGCGCAGTCTCGCACGCGATTGGCGGAGCCGCGGGTCGCCCTCGGCGCTGCGCCGCGGACGCCCGCCGGAGACCAGTTGAGCGCGAGACCTCGAGCCGAGCGGTTGCGGTCGCGTCCTCGCGTGGAGTCGCGCGTCCAGTGTGTCGAGCGCCGGTGCCCCTCTTCCCTCGAGTTGGATTTCACGGCCGTCGCAGGGCCCGGGGAGTAGAGGCGAGCGAGAACCCTCCGCTGCGCCCGGAAACCTGTCCGACCTCTCTCCGTCTCTTTCCCCTTTCTCTCCGACTAAAAAAGGGGAAAGACCGCTCGCGGGCACAAGGCCGTCGCGAGGAAGATCGCCGACCGTCGGACGCCTCCTTGCCGACCACAGACCCTGCGGACGCGGCCTTCCGCGAGCTTTCCGCTCCTAAGTAAGTGTTGATTCCAGGATATCGTATGTATGAAAAAAAAAACAATTAAAAAAGAAGGGGGGAGGGGGAGAAAAAATATATAAGCAACTTGTCGAGAAACCCCCCGACGATTTTTGGGAGCATTGGGAGGTTTTTATGTATGTATGTGTTTTTATTGTGGACGCGTGTAGGTAC